AGCTTTATTTAGGGTCCATGGGGGGTAGCCTTGCTGGCAGGGTCAAGTTGTGATTGTTGAAGGTTTCCAGATAAAGAATTCGATGAAGGGAACCACTCAATAATTTTGAATCTGATGGAATTGGAATCACTTCTTGATGAGCCAGTTTGAATGGAAAGCTTGCCCCTGAATAAAGATCAGGGATCAGAGCAATTCTTGGATCAGTGGGAATCAGCTTAGCTTTAGTTAGGGTCAGGAATTATTTAGTGCATGAGGCTTCATGGGGGGTTGCCTTGCTGGCAGGGTCAAGTTGTGATTGTTGAAGGTTTCCAGATAAAGAATTTGATGAAGGGAATCACTCAAGAATTTTGAATCTGATGGAATTGGAATCATTTTTGATAAGCCAGCTTGAATGGAAAGCTTGCCCCTGAATAAAGGTAAGGGATCAGAGCAATTTTTGGATCAGTGGGAATCAGCTTAGCTTTTTTTAGGGTCAGGAATTATGTAGTGCATGAGGCTTCATGGGGGGGGGGGGGTAGCCTTGCTGGCAGGGTCAAGCTGTGTTTTTGAGGGTTTCTAGATAATGAATTTGATGAAGGGGATCACTCAAGAATTTTGAATCTGATGAAATTGGAATCATTTTTTGCTGAGCCAGCTTGAATGGAAAGCTTGCCCCTGAAAAAAGAAAGGATCAGAGCAATTTTGGGGGAGGAACCCATTTAGCTTTACTTAGGGGTAGTTTATTCTTTGGTTTGGGAAAACGTTTAGCTCTATTTAGGGGTAGTTTACTAATCGTAGGCGGACATGAAGGGAAAGAGATTTGCGAGATTGCCGTCGGGGCGCAAGGGGGCATGCAGTTTGGGGTGCGCGTTGAGCTGCTGCTGATGGTGCGGGCCCGTTTTATTTGGATTGACGGCAGGGTGCTAGGGCATGCAGTTTTGGTGCTGGTGCGGCCTGGTGATGGTGCGGGCGCATATGTGCGAGATTGATTGCCGTTCGGGGTGATGATGATGCGGCCTGGTGTATTTTTGCGAGATTGACGGCAGGGTGCCAGGGCATGCAATTTGGGGATTCTTGTGCAGGTGCCACAGTGCACATGTTTCGCTATCTCGGGTCTATGCTAGTGTGTGTGTGTGTGTGTTTTTTCTTTCGGGGGTCCTTCTGGAAACAGTCCCAACCACAAATAGGTTCTGATCCGGCCTATCGATTCTTTGCATGGTTTTGGGCAGAGTATCTTGTTGGTTGCAGACCACCTTGGCCCAATGACTGCGCTTGCTATGGGCCACGGGGTCTGGGGCCTACCCTGTGTCCCTTTTCCAATGTCTCCCTCGAATCTTGGAGCAGGTTTGGCTAACCCTTCATTTTAGAAATTCATCCCTGGGTACAACTTGAGGCATGCTAGGGATGGTCAGGGACCACTCACTTTCCAGCGACAAGAAAGAGTTGAGACGAAGGCACAGGGAGGGCCCAACTTCAAGTTGCTTTTACTGCTTGTGAGGTGTGAATAGTTGCAAGTAGTGCTGACATGCCAAACTGCCGTTTCATGCACCCACCTGCCGCTTCTTGACATGCGCCAAGATCTGTAGGACCTTTACTTGGAGATTCAATTCTTACTTCAGGTCTTGGCTTTCTCGAATAGAAGTTCCATAATTTGTTTTCCCAGTTTCTGCAGCCATCAGTTTGGGGAGGTATCGGCATGCCGTGGCCTTCTCTTTTCAATACGACAAAGCGACGAGTTTCGGCGTTGGGCCATCCCAGAGACACAACCATGGTTTAAAGATCCTGATTTAGCTTTCCCGCATACCCCCTTTGATTGTTCGGCGTGGGTTTGTTCTTGGGGGTCTGAACAACAAGTGGCTTCAAACAATTGGGAAGCCAACCCTGAACAAATCTCCTCGAACATGTTTTTCTCGTGAAGGAATCCTTGTCAGCTTCTCTGGGGGGTGGCTGGAACTAGGAACCCCTTTGAAGGAACTCTCTTGAAGATGCAAATGGACTCGGCCCCGATTTTCTCAAAACAGACTCCCATAATGGTGTCTTCCTGAATGTCAACCCGGGAGAAATACACCTCTGGCTGATGAATAGGAGGGTGCTCGCTCCCTTGCTTAGTGGGGTGTCGTAACTTTGGGTGACACCCCAAGAGCCGAATTTGCTTGGCAGAATCAGTGGCGTCTTAAGCCGTCTAGCCCTGCATGGGACGGGTGTATTAATTCGGGGTAACGTTATGGTTTGTCTCCAAGCACCATTTAAAAGACGACTTCACCCGATTTTGGCCCCCGCATTCTAGCATTTGTCCTTCCAGGAAGAGGTCGCGCCCGCCGCTGACCAAGTACCCACTGCGGCGGTCGCTGCTGATTTGGAAGCCCGCGGCTTGTCAAAAGCAAGAAGGTAGATGGGATTGGCAAAAACAGGGGTCTTTATCAGTCAACCACGCATTCTCGAGGGGGGTGGGTGGGCTTGGTCAGTTTGAACATCACATCCTGCTTCGGGATCGGAAGTTTCTTAGGAGCTGTTTTTTGAGGACTCAACTCTCTTATCTCCCTTGGTCTACTCAAAAACGAGGGCTCCGCATGAAACTGCCTTTGGGCCTCAAAACTGCGAGAGAGGCCGCCTTTTCCTAGACGAGGGCGTGTCTTTGTTGGTCCCCTTCTGCGCTTCTTTTCTCGGGAGCCCACTGGGCCCAAGGCTTGCCCGGCCCAGGTTGACGAGAGTGGCGCCGAGGCCGATCTGGATTCCTTTCCCGAAGCTTTCATGGTTTGTGAGTAACGAGGCACATGGACTCCCCAATTTTGTCAAATCATTTCCTGGTTGAGATCTCCTGATTTGTGTGCCAAGTGTATCCCTCATTCCCTGTGTTGTTGGACTTTAAGGCTTTTTGGGAAGACCACTTTAGTGGTATATAAAGTTCAGACTTTTTCCGGCCAATTCACTAACTGATTGTGACTCGCGGGCGTGGGTTCAAAGCTACAGCCTTGCAGTCGCAGGCCTTGCGGCACTCTCACACCTTCCCGCTCTGACAGCTCGCGCTCCCGCAGCTGGGCTGTTGACCGGGGCACGCTCTTGTATTTGGCGCCACGCAAGCGTAAGCAAGTCACCTTGTGATTGCACCAGCGACCCATGAAGATGCGCTTTGCTGGAGTTCACTGCTTTCCTGTTCGGGTGGAAGTCATTTGAGGTGCTTCAAAGTAACAGGGTTTTGGATTTGCCCTTTCAGGGGGCGTGCCAACTGGGTTTTGTTTCTAAAGTCAGAGGTGGTTGGCCCGTTCTCTTCAACCAAACCGAGAGGGTCTTGCTTGGCGACTGTTCCAAGCGTCGCAATACTGCGGCACCCTGATCAAGCATCGGGCCTCTTTCTTTTAGCCTCGCGTGGCCTTGTCTTGAGGAAGCCCACTTTGCGATTCTGTGGTTGGATGCTTCATGGCGCAGTGTTGCAAGTCAGGGGTCACTTGGGAGGGACCCAGAATTTGGAGGTGAGCAGATGGGTCAAGAGGGCTTAGGGAGTCAGACGGGGCGGGAGGCCCAGATTCTCCCACAGCAAGGTGGATCAAATTTGTAAAAGGGTCTGGGGAAGAGACTATCCGAGGCTCAGCCGATTTCAGCAGGTTCTTTGGAGATCGACCCATGCGTAGACTCCATGTTCCCCAAGCTCCAGTAGCTCGGTTGGTGAAACCAGCTCCCGCCTTCCAAACTGTCCACTCTTGAAAATCCGAGGCCGGAGTTTTGTGAGACGGATTCTGCCGTTTGCTGCCGTCTACAGATGCCAAGTGAGCCACTGTCAAAACCAGATGCATCAGTGGATGTCCCCCCTTTTTGGAATTCGATGCTCCCCGCAAAGGCAGTTTAGGACAAGTGCTCTTTGCTCTTGCCACTTGTTTTGACAGAGGCGCGCAAGTGGCTGTATTCCTGGATGCAAGCATCCTGGCTCTCCAACCAACCGTTATTTTTTCTATCTTTTTCTAGAGCTAGTTTTTTTTTTGAATATAAAAAAGCAAAACAATAAAGCAAAACAACATGAAAAACATGGCGGACAACACCGGGTGGTTTGGAGATCCGTGTCAATGGTCGTTGCCATCATTTTTGTTTGCACGAGCGGCCCATGAGCCAGGCCCGTTTTGCGCGGGCGACGCATGGCCCGCTTGCTACAGATTTTGCTAAAAGGTCGCGCTTTGACTGCGCCTTTTGATGGCGCAGCAATTAGAGTCAGAGAGCAGTCAAAACGGGGCGCTGGCGGCTGGTGGGGTGTGATGGGACTGGACATCAACCACAATGAAACCCCGGGTATGTGGAAGCTAGGAGTAGTTTCAACCATCAACAATACCTTTAACTTCTTTACATGGTTTTGGGTGTACCATTTTTGGATTGTGACTCACATAGCAAGCTTGAAGTTGGAGTATGTGGTGCCGAGTCTTGGTTTGGCGTCAGACTCCCCGAACTGTGTGGTTTTGCTTCCCCCGTTGAAACAGCCAAACCAAATCCAGGGTACCGTCGCAAAAGACACCCTTCTGTCTGGCACTCGCAGTGGTTCAGCTGATGCTTTGCGGCCTTTGTTGGGCCCAAGGCAGCAACCGTCGGACGGTTACCTGCAGAAATCTCGGGGCTAAACGCGCCCAGTCAGCCTTGATTGGTTTTAAAAGGATGTCTACCCCGGGCCCCAGTCAGAAAGCGGTTAATATGAGCCGAATAGGGTCCGCAGCCACAAGGAGACTTCCTGACAGCTTTCGAGTCAAACCAAGCCGGGGCAGTTTCCGGTCAGGTTGGGAATGAATTGGAGGGAATACTCGGGCGTGTGCCTAGAAGCTAAGCATGGGTATAAGCATCGTGGACTCGCGGTACAGGATTATGGTGTGCGCCAAAATGAGAGGGGGGGGGTCTCCCAAACTGGCGGCTTTCCGTTTGGGTTTCATTCCCCCCAAAAAACAAGAAAAGAAAATCGCACCCTTGGAAAACGGCACACGCCCAATTCGGTGAATGAAACGCGTTTCTCACCACTCCAATTCTTCCGCCTGGCTGTGCACGAGGAGTTCGACAACTTCGACCAGATCGCGCTCGCCCGCAGCCCAGCGCCTTTTTTGGACGCGCAGCCCTGGGATGGCTGAAGCCCCATTTCAGCGTGCCTCGAAATGGGGGAAGCCCCAAATGAGTTGTTTCCTCGAGCGTATGACAGTGGATTTTCGTGCATCCGCAACATGTAAGTGCATTTGGCCAATACCTTTGAACCCCGGTTGACTCGCCATATTTTCATGGAACCTCACAATTGAGCGTCATAAAGCTTTTTGGGACCCCCTTCTCAGGTTCCACGTCAATGTCGGTCTGCCTTTTCTTGAGGGCACCCTTTCAAAACACGATTTTATAGGGGAAACCGAAAACGGACCACACCTTGCGGGACCTCCACAAACCAACAAAACGACAGAAGCCCCGCCCGATTTTTCCTTCACCACGTGCTCCATCGGTCAATCCTTCGAGGCGCAGAAGCTGGAGAAGCACGAGCTCATCGAGATGCGGCGCATCGCCACGCTGGCCCGGGCCCCCGGCGCCCGAAAACGGCTGTGTGTTTTTGTGTGTACGTGTGTGGTTGTGTGTTTTTGGGCCAGTGGCTTGCAAGTTGAGGATTGGCTTTGGGGTGACTCAATGTCATGCCGGAAAGAGCCGGACCGCACTCGCCACGGCTGGGTGTGCGTTTCTTTCTTGAGGGTACCCTTTGTAAAGTTGCTTTCAAGGGAATTCAAAGGGGAACCCACAGTTGTTGGGGTCCTCCTAATTTGACATGTACCTACTTGATTGATTTACCCTGTGATATTCTCCAAAACATGTGTTCTGCAGCGTGAAAAGGAAGACACGCTGTCGTCATTTTATTCTCCCTCGTGTATGTAGCGCCAGGTCTACCAGAAGAACAAGCGCTACAAGCAGGCCATCGAGCTCGCCCGCAACGACAAGATGTACAAGGACTTTATGTGGCAAAGCAGGGGTTTGGACCCCAAACGCGATGGTTGTTTTGGTTTCCCCATCCAAACTGAAAAGGGTGCCCTCCAGAAAGACGCAGCCCCTTCGGTTGCGGGTGATGGGTGCAGATGCGTTTCTCTTCGGTGCTGGAGATCTGAACTTAGGAAGCCAAAGGGAAACTTCCCATGTCGTGTGGGCCCCATCCAATGGACTGGGAGACGCGAGGACTGCATGGACAGCGCGCTGGCCAGTGGGAACCAGGAGCTGGCAGGGAGCCCCGGGCACTTTAGCTCGGGGCTGGGAAGGCGTTTTTCTCAAAAATGAGCAGCGCCCAGCACCTGTTTTTTCAACATTTGAATAGGTGGTTCTACCTATGGTGGTTATAGCAAACCATGTTCGTAGAACCAAGTCAATGCGTTTGGGAGCATTTCAGTAGGCGGGTTCTACTCCTGGTTTTGCAAACGGTTTTCGTAAGGGCAATATAAACCATTACAACGTGTTTTATTTTGGGAAGCTACAAGGATCTCCAGTTTTGGGGGTGACCCAACTTGGGAATCTGAGGATTGTGCTTGGTCTTCATCACATGAGCACATGAGCACGTGGGCATTGGACTCGCTCACCATTCTGTTGGGACCCCAAATTCCCCCGGCGATTTCGGCGCTTTTCCGGATCCCTGCAACGAATGGGGAAGTACAACTAGAAAGGATGCCATTGGGCCACGGTACATATTCATCCTCAAGTGACAGGGTATTTTGGTGAGGAAAATATCCGAATGGTATTTGGGGGGCATCAACTTTTTGAATGTTGCATCCAAATGCCGACTTCAGATGAATACCACGAGGACCGTTTCTGAAAAGGGGCTTCCGGAAGCCGCAAGTGGGGATGCTCGAGGGACCCTTCAATTTCACGTCCTCAGGACTAATCCGCAGTTAACATCAAGGCATGGGCTAGAATCTAAGCAAGGCCATGGTGACAAAAGCTGAGGTAGGTTCCGGTTAGAAGAGAAAAAGGTCGAAGGGCTTGTGAGGGGCGGTTTTCCTTTAAGGCTCGGTTGCAACCGAAGCCAAGTGATGTTGTATGTTTTGGCGTCAACATGTTTTGTGATGGTCCCACAACGTCAACCTTCCCTTTGCGGGTCTTTTGAACTGAAATAAGTTGGGAGGAGCCTACGTGTGACAAAGGAGTCCGTAGTTCTGCAAATGCTGCGGCAGGATTCAGAAAATGCCAACAGCCAATTCTGGGCCAGTCGGCCTTTGCTTGCTTTTCGCCATAGCAAGTTTGAAGCTTGCCAAATCAGCTCTGGCCTCAAGGTCCCCACTGACATATGACACTCAAATTATGATGATAGAGTATTATGGACACTCATTTTTGCGCTCGCTGGGAATTCAAACATACTTTTTCACCAAATTTTAGCCGCGATCATGCTGGTGAACAGGCGGCTACCTAATTTGAGCGAGCGGGCAGGAATAGACAGGTGTCATTGGATCGAGGTTGGCAAATGCATGTCACAAAGGTTAGGCAGCATTACGGGTTGCTCCGAGCCAGAAAGCATCTACAGCTCAAAAAGGTAGGTATAAGTTCGGTTTCCAGCATCCTCGGAGCAATCTTCAACAGGCCATGCGTTCTGACCAAACCGCATTCGTTGACTCTTTTGGCTGCCCTCGGCTCAACAACGCCCGTCTCTAGGCCGAAGGCCTGCTCAAGTACTTCGTCGACAGTGACATGAAGGACAGAGAGCGAGTGCCAGACCTTGGATATTAGATTGGCCGCAGAGTTTACTCAACTTGAGTTGGGTTTCCAACTGAATCACGTGTTGAGTACGGGCCCCCTCAAATGCCTAAAGCACAAAAGCAGCCAGGGAGGAGTTACACATGTTGCAGGTACTTGGTTGAACGAGTTGCTTTGGCCGACGTTTGGTAGTCAGAAGAGAGCAACGAGCGAGAGCTTATTATTTGGGTCACTTCAGGGCTTTGCTCTCGAACAAATGGTGCTGGCACAAGAAGGGCAGCCAAGACACTCCGGGTGTTCCGTTTGTGTCGCGCCCCGGCAAACCCGGATTCAGTCCTTGCGACTTGAAGTTGCCCTGGATTTGGATCCAAAAGGTTTCCCCAAAAGCTTTGGCCCTTTCCGGCCAGTGACCAGTGTGGCTGTTCCGCTCAGAACCGCTGGTTGGTTCTACCTGGTCTAGCCACCAGGTATTGGGGCGGGCCAAGTTGTGAGCACCTCAAAAGGAAAGCCGGGAGCGAGGACACCATTTGGGTGTGTCTTCTTTGGCGCGGGTAGCTGTTTCTGTGGTTTTACAGGATAAACAAAAGGATCACTTTCCTCTCTTGTTTTTGTTTGGGGGGGTCCCAAAAAAAGGAGACACCCTGTTTGCATCCATTTGTCCACTGGAAGCGGACAACTCGAATGGCCAGGAGTGCTTCGCAGCCTGCCTCTACACTTGCTACGACCTCATCCGCCCGGGGGCCTCGAAGGTATGGGGGATGGCTCCCCTCCCCATGGAGGTTGCGTCAGGGGTGCGGGTATGAAGCACACAAGTTGTCCTTTCCTTTTGGTTTCATTTTGAAAGAAAGACACTCCTCAAAATGCACACGCCCGGGAGACGAATAGAGGATTAGTTTCACAGTTGTTGCTTTACATATGGAGCCGTGAGCGAGTACATGTCAAATGAGCATCGGCATGATGCTCGGAAAGAGCATCGCCTGAGGTTGTCAGTATGTTGGGTATCGACTTCTTGGGCCAAGAGACTGGATGAGTCGATGAGGCAATCTGTGCCACGTGAGAACACATTGCCAGCGGCAGATCAAAGTGTCCCAATCAATCCTCTCGAGAACCACTCATCGCATTTGCGAGCACTTTATGGAGAATCCGCAGAATTTGGCGTTCACGACTCAACGTGTCATTTTGCCGATCTTTTTTGACCTTAACCAGTTCCAGCCGATTTTTCTTACTAAACTAGCAATTCGCTTGTCGACTGTCCGGCAGCGGTTTCAGAATGCTAACAAAGACGCGAAAAAGGCTGTCTTTCAATATTCGTTTGGTTTGCGGCTTTTTGTCAGACTTCATGCCGAACCGTGGACATACTGGAACTTGGGGAACCCGGGTCCCCGGCTGGGCTTTTGAACCGCATTGGATGTCAGAATCGAAAATACGAACTCCTTTTAAAACCAGGTAAAAACTGGATTAGGCCCGGTAGGATTTCAGATCCAAAGATTGGATGGACCCCAGAAGAACCCATTTGGGCGCGTTTTGGCTTTTGGCTTCAAGTTGGTGGACGCCATGGCGCGGTTACGGACGCGGGTCCTGCGGCTCCTGGTGCTGACGGTGGGCCTGCCGTTGGCACCTTGGTGGCTTATGGGTCCGAGGTGTAGGGGGGAACCATGAGGCTTGGTCAGAACAGCCAGAAGTCTATGGTTCATTCGGAACAAGCATCAGGGGACTCGCTAAACTTTCCATGCGTGTTCAAATCAGGCAAGTAGATCACTGGTGTGTTCTCTTAGTTGTCGAGCCCGGAGTTTGGTTTCAAGATGGCTCGCTATGAAGAGGGAATCTGTTTCCAATTGGTAGAGCAGTCATAGGGATTGTCCACTTTGGTAGCACCGGTTCATTTCCCACAATGGTGGGTAGCTTGGCGCATTCTACTCACAGGGTGAAAATGCTGAAATCACGGGTGCCAGGCCGGGGACTGGTCTTTGTAGGATGCTTGGACCTCAACCCTGCAATTCCGGGGTCCAGAAGTTGGCGCCCTTTTGAGCCGCCCAATTTGAGTTGTGTTTGGGCGAAGGGAGGACCAGCCCCAAAAGTGGGACAGGCCCATGTGGTTCGTGCATGAATGAGAGAGAGAGAGAGAGAGAGACAGAGCTTTTCAACAATGAGAGAGCAAACAATCGGCCCCCATGGTATGCTGAAGAAAGACATCGCCTGACAACGACACTCAGGACAAATAACCCCTTGCTTGATTCATAGGAGGTGTCCCGTTTACGAGGGAATGCTTTATTTAACCTGTTCATGTACTAATTTGCTTACTCATTTATTTGGTTATGTTTTTTTTTTTGTTTTTTTTTCCCGGGGGAACAATCCCCCTTCAATCCACTAGGTTGATTAATCCGGACATTACCAGGTTTTTGTGTGACCAGTTCTCGAGCTCCGAGGCATGGGTGGGACCCAGGAGACAAGCGCTGCAGCTTCCAGGCACGCTTGGGGGAGGGGGGATGAAGCTTTCCGCCAATCTGGCGCGAGCTCACGGGTAACAAGAGCGAAAGGCCTTGATGGATTGATGAGGTCCTCGACTTGTCGGCAGATTTCTGGTTTCAGATTGTGGAGTTGTTGTAGGATTGAGCAGAATGAAGGACTGGTTGATAATCCGGGGGGTCTTTTTAGCAGGGATCTTTCATTTTTTTGAGCAGCAATCTGACAGATGGATCAATCCAGGGTTGTCCGTGGGACCCAGGATAAGTACACCGCAGGGTATGTTCTCCCTAGAAACTGACCTCGGAGTAGAGAACCTGGCGGATTAGTAGCAGAAATCGCCTGAGGAGCTCAAACGGTTTCAATCTATCCAGAGAAAGTTGACATCGACGGGATGTCTAGGAAACAAGCATGAGCATTAGCAAAGCTAAACACACACACACACACACACACACACACACACACACACACACACACACACACACACACACACACACACACACACACACACACACACACACACACACACACACACACACACACACACACACACACACACACACACACACACACACACACACACACACACACACACACACACACACACACACACACACACACACACACACACACACACACACACACACACACACACACACACACACACACACACACACACACACACACACACACACACACACACACACACACACACACACACACACACACACACACACACACACACACACACACACACACACACACACACACACACACACACACACACACACACACACACACACACACACACACACACACACACACACACACACACACACACACACACACACACACACACACACACACACACACACACACACACACACACACACACACACACACACACACACACACACACACACACACACACACACACACACACACACACACACACACACACACACACACACACACACACACACACACACACACACACACACACACACACACACACACACACACACACCCAAAACAGGACCTTCGGCTAGCTTCCTGGATATTTGCCTGGAGCGAGTTTCGCTGGCTGTGTGCAAATTGCAGCCATTTCTATATTTCGGGTGTGTCGTTTTATTATGTTTGTTCATTTTCCAGGGCATACATTTTGTTTTACTATTATTATTATTATTATTAGTACTATTGTTATTATTGTTATTATTTTTATTTAAATAAGGGAGACCGCAGGAAGAACCACCACTTTGGAGATCTGATTAGAGGCATGGCCTTCCCACAGACAAACTCAGTTACGGGACCCCTTTCCCAAGCACCAAACCGAGGTGAACCCATCTCAGTTTGGAGAAATCCACCGGCAGTTCCCATTTTGGGGATGTGTCAAAATGGGGGGACCCCAGAAAATGGGAAACATTTTCATTTGTGGTTTCGCTTTTAACCCAAGCTGGAAAGTGTACCCTCAGAAACCTGCTGCGGATGGTTTGGCCGGGGCCGTTCCAAGCTTGCCTAAGAACCAGCAAGTTAAACATGTTGGAATCACGATTGTTTAATTGCAATCTTGCGGGACGAGGAGTAGAGGTTGGCCGTTTTTACGCATTTGTAACCCCAACCCGCAAGAGGACTAGGGGGTAGGTTGTTGCACCACAAACGGGCATGTCTTTTGTCGAGGGCACGTAATTCAGCTTGGTTATAAAGGGAAACCAAGATCGCAGCTGCCAGTTCCAAGACGGACAATTCAGGAAAAAGTCAAGAAATCCCAAAACACAACGGGGGAAAAACAAACAAACAACAAATCGGGGCCCAATTTTTTCCCGGCCTTCTTTGGGCGTGAGGCTTGGGCCTGCTGGGTGCCGGCTCTGCCGCCCAGGCGGCCGGCTTCTCGCCGGCGGACCTGGGTATGGAGGCGAAGCCCAGGGCGGAGGATTCGCTCGGCATGTGTCCAATGGCTAAGAGATCTGGATATATGGGTCAAAATTAAACCATCAGGGGTTTGTTTCCATGTACCAAGGTTCCCGTCTGGGTACCTATTTTTGACCCACACCCATATGAGGTCTTAAAACACATATATGCATATACACAAAGATATGTGTATGTAAGTATGCATATATATATATATATCATATCGTATCATATCATACCATATCGTATTGTATCGATATCCACATCCATTTCCGTATCGTATCCATATCCGCATCGTATCCTGTCAAATTATGTATATACATATATATGTACATCATAGTGCTAGATATATGTCTATCAATGACGGGTGATTGAATAGGCAAAACATATCAACCTCGCAGTTTCTCAATTACCAAGCCTAGGCGAGTGGCTATGTCGCCGCCTCCATGAGTCATTTTCCTTGCTTAACATTTCATGCGGCCACCCCTCATAACATCTGACCGTAGTTGTGGTGGTTGTCCGAGTTGCGTCTTTTCTGATGTGGGCAGGATTGAGCACAGATATGAGGTATCCCATGCATTCGATGGCCCGACTTAGTTTTTGTATGTCTTGTGTGCGATGCTTGGAGGGTGGGTGTCAGGTACAATTTGAGACATCACTGTCTGTCTTTGGCCACAGCAGCTTTTGGGATGGAAGCGGTGAATGAATTGTCTGTGTTTGCCTGGAGGGCTGGCTGGTTGGCTGGTTGGCTGGTTGGCTGGTTGGCTGGTTAGCTGGCTGGTTGGCTGGTTAGCTGGCTGGTTGGCTGGTTGGTTGGCTGGTTGGTTGGCTCGTTGGCTGGTTAACTGGTTGGTTGGTGTCGATCGGTCGGTTAGTTTGTTGCTTTGTTAGTTGGTTGCTTTTGTGTGTTGGCTGATGTTTGGTTGCTTGGGGTGCTTTAGTGTATTGCAGGGTTTTGGCAGTGCTGGAGTACAGTTTAGGGTTGCTGAGCCGCCCCAAACACTACAAACACGAGCACCCAACCAAGCGCCAACCTCCATGTCAACCCAACACCAACCCTAAAACTAACCCGAACACTGCAGACCCAACTCCAAAGCAGTCACGACCAATCCCAGAACCAGCCCCAAGCAACTGAATTGAACTGGCCCGACATGCACGCCCGTTTCAGCTGAAAGAGAAACTTAAAGGACACCGGCCATTTTGGTGGTCCCCAAATTTGAGACACGCCCATTTTGACCTTTTGGGTTCTCGTTTTTGGTTCGTGTTTTAGTCATGCCCCCAAAGGGTCAGCCTTCTATTAAATGAGTAGGGGTCCTTGGGCAACTGAGTTCACGTACCGTGCCATCCTTTTCTTTCCAAAAGAGGTTGGTCGGCTGGGGTGCCTAATCGTTCAACCGGAAGGTGGCGCCTCTTCCCTTGGACCTAGAACCTTCCGCTGCGAGAGGTTTTGTGTTTGCTGCGTACATCAGCCACTGGGGCGCAAAAATCCCACTAACAGGTTTCATCCCACCGAACGGAGACTTTCTAAGCGGGTAACAACACAGGCTACCAATAACTTACCGGCCAAAAACACCCAACGCTTTACACCATGCACCTCAGAACAAAACGGCGCTACCCGTGAGACACTGGATGGTTTTGCTGGAGCAATGAGGTGGTTCGCCGCCCTGGCGTGACAGTGCTTTGTCAGATCTGGGCAACATGCAGTTGGGTGTGTCTTGCAATAGGGGAACTCCCTTACATGGTTGGTTTCCTTTTAGGCGTTTTGCTCATGGCCTTCCCGCGGCGCGCCTGTCACGCCCCGGTCTGCCAACACAGCCATGACACACCCGCCCGCGTTACCGAAGACACTGGATGACTTTGCCTGCTTTCGTGTTTGGTTTGTGCTACAGTCTGATGGGACCCCTGATGTTCATCTCGCTGTGGTACAAGGGCAAGATGACCTCCTGTCGTGGCATGCTGTCATGCCCAAGCCTGGCACAACAATCAGGGTGTCTCTTCCTGGTTTCTGGACCACAGGTTTATATGATCACTCAGGTGATTCTTGCCTGCGCATATTCAAGTGCTTCGCTTGTGCGGGTGGTCCAGCCCTCTGGAAACCAACCTCGGATGCTTTCGTGTCAGCCCAACCCAAAAGGTTTCCCTTGAGCTAGTCCCGCAGAATCGGTTCGATTTTTTTGGCGCAAGTCACGCAGGTCCCAGGCAGCGTGGGCAACGCGCCGGTGCAGCGGGTTGAGGCCGGGTTTTCCAAATTCATCCGGCGAGATTTCCCACATTTCCCCCTTTTGGGAGTGTCTCTGTTGAAGGGTACCCCTTCTTTTTCCTGTGGTTTTGGGGTACGAGCGAAAACCCGGTCCTTCTGCTTCTTTACTAGGGGGATTCGGTTCTTACTTCAGGTTCGGAATTGTATGTTTGGGTGTTCTCTTTTATGGACGACCCATTTTTGGCTGGTTTTAAAGGAAGACTAAAAGGACATCTCAAAATTCCGCGGTTGCTCTTTGGTACAACCTGTTTGCCTCTTGCAAGATGATGTTCCTTTCACCGGTCAAAGTCCAAAATTCACGCAGGGCAACCCGTGGCAGGTCCCACTGCCAATTCCCCAACGGAGGGTGTGGCCAATTGATTTGCCATGGCCCCTTTGGATTTTCGAATTGGCTTGCTGTGTGGGTTGATTAGAGAGCCACAGGGGAGCACGATTGTTTGTTAAACCTTCTTCAAGCTGTTCTTGAGCCCTCCCTTTTGACCCCCTGCCGGCACCCACTTTCAAAGTTACACAAGCCGACACGCCTTGGGGTGTAGTGCGTACTTATATACCACTTGTGTGACCTACACATTATCTAGAATGCGTAACAAAGATGCTTTTGCCTGAATGTATATGTACATAGATACGGTCATGATGCATGTATGTGTTGTGCAGGTAATTTGTTTATTGTAGAGCGCGCAACAATCATTGCGCCCTCTCGAAACAGCCTGGTGTGAAGCAAGTGCTTGATGTCCAGAGGGCCGCAACTTCTTGATATTGGCGTTGCAATGACCGTTTGAAGGAGGAAACATGGTAGCACTCTGGAAAACGTAGGTGAAGTTTAGTAGGACACAGTCCCAGCCACGAATGAGCGCGGCTTTCCTCCAAAAACATCTGAAGGAAATTCGCCAGAAAGTTAGCCCAAATCCGTGGTTCTTGTGGGTATTTGTGTAATTTCCTGGATAATTTCCAGATTGTTTGGTAGATGTCCACGCGTTCAAGTCTTTGGATGGCCTCGATGAGATTCTACCAGGTTTTGAGTACGCCAGAGCCTGGAACCCTAGCTCTCAGCAGGTGTATGTGTATATGCATATATATATATATATATATATACAGGTATCTAGACGGATCTCATTGCATGGCCCCTTTCTGTTGGCTAAGGGAAGCACACGCCAACCCTTGCGAACGGCCAGTGGCCTTTGCAGAACACCCAAGGGGAACCCCCCAAAAGGTGTGTTTTTCCGCCGGTTTTCCTGGACAAAACTCCCTGAGTTCCAGAACTATACACATTGTGGACCCAATTGATGGCTATGTTAGTAGTAAATCAGCAGTTTAGACTCTTTTCGACCCATCCACTTGATCGGAAGTGAGAAGACGGGTTTCCCCTCCCGCTGTGGCTTGAGACATTTGCCTTCCGCCAGTCCGTGGACGAGCTGGAGAACGCTCTCTACCTCATCAGCCGCGTCCAAGAGGCTCCCCCCCGATTCGCGGGTTACTCCATAAATTTTGGACTTGATGGAACCAGTTCCACTAACTTCATGGCCATACGCAGAAAGAACAATGAGCTAGAACGCACATTTTAGGTTTCTTAGGTTTCCTAAAAGTGAAGCACGCTATGGGATGCAAATTTAGAACTGCGCTTAGCTCCAAGCAGGCACCTGCAGACTTTAGTTTGCCCGGAATTTCTCGCGCCATCTTAATCTCCCGCCGATTAACATGGAACCCGCAAACCGGCCACCAAAACGGACCCGGTTCGGGTCCCGGCAACGTGGGGGTCTCGAGTAGTACGTCCGGTAGGTGCCTACTCCACGAGTTTCGGGGTGAACATTTCCTCAAGGCACCTCCAACCTAGTCGGTTTCCGATCGCTTGCAAAGGACACTGTGGTTTTCGCCTCTGATTTCGGAACCCACTTGTGATCGAACCCATTGGGTCATCCACCAAGCAGACAACACTTTACCTCTCAAACCCCACCCTGAGCAGGTCCAGAAATGCCGGAAGACAAGATGTTGGCAGCCACAAAGAAGCGAGCGAGTCCTGGAAACAGATCCTTGCCGACGCCTCGTGACGTCATTGGTCGTTTTCGAGGCCTCGGTGCAGCAGGAACGGCTGGTGACCACGGGCAAGTTCAAGGCACCGGCAGTTTGTTCGTTTGTTTTTTGGTTTGTTTGTTTTTTGTTTGCGTTTGTTTGTTGTTCATTTGTTTGTTTGTTTGTTTGTTTTTGTTTTTCTCCCTTTCTTTTTTCTGTTTGGGGGGGTGGGAGGTCTCTTGAAGTTTGGTTGACAGCTCACTTCAAGTATTTGCTTCTGTGCTTTCTTAGCGCCAACTTTACATATCAAGCTTTACTACATATAATATGAGCGACTGCCTTTATTTGCAGAAGACTACAGTAAACGCAGGGAAGAGACAGCTTTTGGGTGACATGCTAAATTAGGTGCAAAACGAGGTAGGAGCACCCACAAAACGAGGTAGGGCCATGACACATAGTTTGTTGAGATCACAAAGGCATGCGGTGTTGGAAAACGAGGTCAAGCAGTCCACACAGGTGCAGGGTTGGAGGACGAGGTGAGAACACCCGACCATTCAAGCATGTGGCGAGCAACTGCTGCAGCTCACATACAAAGCAGAATCTACACATGCCATTTTGGGTTGAGGGTAAATGACAGAGTAAGATGGAGGACCAATGATTCTGTCTTTGATTGAATTCACACACACACACACACACATCCGCAAGCGGCAGAAACACCAAAGCTCAAATTGAAGAAAGACAGGTTTAAGCTTCGGTGTCGCTTTTGGCAAGGGCCTCAAACTGACTGCGCCGCCGCACATTTTTGAGCGGCCCTTGCCATGCGTTCTGCTTCTTTGGCCATTCGCTGTGCCTCAGCAGCTTCGGCATTGCTCACCTTGGCCACTTTGACCTCAAGACATGGGTACTGGCTCGCCGAGTTGAGTGTTCCAGAAACTGTGCAATCGTGGTTCTTGAGTGTGCTGGTGCAGGTTTCCTCGCCTGTATTGGAGGTGCTGTGTTGTTCTGCGGTTTAACCCACCTAGAAGCCACAGCTGCCGCAAGACAGATTGCATGTAGGCCAGTGTCTGACGAGACGGACGAGATGTCAAGGGGCTCAAGGGCAGTTGTAAAAGCAAGGTCATTGATTCAGAGCCCGCGGAGTCGTTGTTTTGGAGTGCTTGCGAACTTGTGCATGTTTCCGTGATGACAGCAGGGCTCTATGTCGGAGGTGCTGTGTTGTTCTGCGGTCTAACCCACCCAGAAGCCACAGCTGCCGCAAGACAGATTGCATGTGGGCCAGTGTCTGACGAGACGGACGAGATGTCAAGGGCCTCAAGGGCTGTTGCAAAAGCAAGTTCATTCTTCCAAAATCCCCTGAGTCGTTGTTTTGGAGTGCTTGCGAACTTGTGCATGTTTCCGTGATGACAGCAGGGCTCTATGTCGGAGGTGCTGTGTTGTTCTGCGGTCTAACCCACCCAGAAGCCACAGCTGCCGCAAGACAGATTGCATGTGGGCCAGTGTCTGACGAGACGGACGAGATGTCAAGGGCCTCAAGGGCTGTTGCAAAAGCAAGTTCATTCTTCCAAAGACCTCTGAGTCGTTGTTTTGGAGTGCTTGCGAACTTGTGCATGTTTCCGTGATGACAGCAGGGCTCTATGTCGGAGGTGCTGTGTTGTTCTGCGGTCTAACCCACCCAGAAGCCACAGCTGCCGCAAGACAGATTGCATGTGGGCCAGTGTCTGACGAGACGGACGAGATTTCAAGGGCCTCAAGGGCAGTTGTAAAAGCAAGGTCATTGATCCAGAGCCCGCGGAGTCGTTGTTTTGGAGTGCTTGCGAACTGGTGCATGTTTCCTTGATGACAGCAGGGCTCTATGTCGGAGGTGCTGTGTTGTTCTGCGGTCTAACCCACCCAGAAGCCACAGCTGCCGCAAGACAGATTGCATGTGGGCCAGTGTCTGACGAGACGGACGGGATGTCAAGGGTCTCAAGGGCTGTTGTAAAAGCAAGGTCATTGATCCAGAGCCCGCGGAGTCGTTGTTTTGGAGTGCTTGCGAACTTGTGCATGTTTCCGTGATGACAGCAGGGCTCTATGTCGGAGGTGCTGTGCTGTTCTGCGGTCTAACCCACCCAGAAGCCACAGCTGCCGCAAGACAGATTGCATGTGGGCCAGTGTCTGACGAGACGGACGAGATGTCAAGGGGCTCAAGGGCAGTTGTAAAAGCAGGGTCATTGATCCAGAGCCCGCGGAGTCGTTGCTTTGGAGTGCTTGCGAACTGGTGCATGTTTCCGTGATGACAGCAGGGCTCTATGTCGGAGGTGCTGTGTTGTTCTGCGGTCTAACCCACCCAGAAGCCACAGCTGCCGCAAGACAGATTGCATGTGGGCCAGTGTCTGACGAGACGGACGAGATGTCAAGGGCCTCAAGGGCTGTTGCAAAAGCAAGTTCATTCTTCCAAAAACCCCTGAGTCGTTGTTTTGGAGTGCTTGCGAACTTGTGCATGTTTCCGTGATGACAGCAGGGCTCTATGTCGGAGGTGCTGTGTTGTTCTGCGGTCTAACCCACCCAGAAGCCACAGATGTTGCAAGACAGATTGCATGTGGGCTAGTGTCTTACGAGACGGACGAGATGTCAAGCCCGCGGAGTCGTTGTTTTGGAGTGCTTGTGAACTTGTGCATGTTTCCGTGATGACAGCAGGGCTCTACGTCGGAGGTGCTGTGTTGTTCTGCGGTCCAACCCACCCAGAAGCCACAGCTGCCGCAAGACAGATTGCATGTGGGCCAGTGTCTGACGAGAAGGACGAGATGTCAAGGGGCTCAAGGGCTGTTGTAAAAGCAAGGTCATTGATCCAGAGCCCGTGGAGTCGTTGTTTTGGAGTGCTTGTGAACTTGTGCATGTTTCCGTGATGACAGCAGGGCTCTACGTCGGAGGTGCTGTGTTGTTCTGCGGTCCAACCCACCCAGAAGCCACAGCTGCCGCAAGACAGATTGCATGTGGGCCAGTGTCTGACGAGAAGGACGAGATGTCAAGGGGCTCAAGGGCTGTTGTAAAAGCAAGGTCATTGATCCAGAGCCCGCGGAGTCGTTGTTTTGGAGTGCTTGCGGACTTGTGCATGTTTCCGTGATGACAGCAGGGCTCTATGTCGGAGGTGCTGTGTTGTTCTGCGGTCTAACCCACCCAGAAGCCACAGCTGCCGCAAGACAGATTGCATGTGGGCCAGTGTCTGACGAGACGGACGAGATGTCAAGGGCTCAAGGGCTGTTGTAAAAGCAGGGTCATTGATCCAGAGCCCGCGGAGTCGTTGTTTTGGAGTGCTTGCGAACTTGTGCATGTTTCCGCGATGACAGCAGGGCTCTATGTCGGAGGTGCAGTGTTGTTCTGCGGTCTAACCCACCCAGAAGCCACAGCTGCCGCAAGACAGATTGCATGTGGGCCGGTGTCTATGACGGAAACAGCGCTAACTTGCGCAGAGTGAGCAAAGAACACACGAGAGAACAGGTTGTCTCCTACCGTTGTCGCGTGCTTGCATGCCCAGGCCGAAAATCTGAGAGCTCAGTGGTCCAAACGCCGCCCGCTTCTTCCAACAACATCCTGTCCGAACCACAGAAAGGGTTCCTCAGTGATACCTTTCCTGGTGCATACTAGGCGTGGCGATGAAGTTGTGTCTGCTGTTTGCGCCGTGGACTGCAGCTGCTTATTTCGGTTTATATCGGGCAGCCTACAAAATTGCGGGTCTCCTGTGACATGCCTTGAACATCTCAGGAGTCTCAAAAACCGAGTGGCCCGGGTTGCATGGCCCAGCAAATTCATTCGCAGGACGTGCAACGAAACTCCATCACCATGGCCTGGGGCTCGGCGAATTTGGTGATGTCAGCTCATCTTGAAAAAGGGATCGTTTTGAAGGGAAACCAAAAGGACTACCATTTTTGGGGTGCCCCTGACAAACACGCCCAAGTGCACTTTTGCCTGTTTTGGAGGATCCGAGTCCTTGCAAAGCAGGTTGTTTTTGGGTAGCCCAAAAGAGGGCTTTTACTCTAGGGCTTTGGGCCAAAAGACAAACTCTGGCTTCCTTTTGCACTCAAAGTCAACGCCAGTGCATGTTGTGCTTACGGCAAAACATGGGGAGCTCCTTCCGGTCTTTGCAGATCAACAGTGGAGTAAAGGAATGCATTTGGTTGTGTCCTTTGTTAGGAAACTGATTCTCGGTTGGCTGGAAAGGGCGAGCAAAAGGACAACATTGGCAGGGTGTTTCTTTGACACACGCGTTTATGTCTCGGATGTTTCTTCTACCGACAAACACAGGGCAGCTCCAGCCATCTGCGCATTGGCTGCGAGAAAGAACGCGGCACCCATTGCAAGTCTGTCCTTCTTCTCCGCTGCATCACTGACCTAGTGGAAATGGCAATATTTCAAATGGCCAAACCGAGTTTGTGGGAAGGAGACTGCCAAACTCAAATTGGGCATCTTCACAGCGCTTGGACAAATAAAGGGAATAACGGGAAGAAGTGCAACTTCTGCTGTCCTTGGCATGCAAGGTGCATATGCATGAACTGGTCATGCCTGTAGCTCAAAAAAAGGTACCCAAAATGACACCTTGGTATATGGACAACAAGACTAAAACCTGCGTAACCCCAGCATTTGTATGTTTCAGCCGCAACCCGGTAGCTCAGCGGATTCAATCTTCGCCGCATTTGGGTGTGTGTCTTTTTACGGAGGTTTTTCGTTGGCTTCCCTTTCAAACTTGCCCAACAACGGGTCTCTCGAAATAAGCAAGACATTTGGCTCCTGTTGGACGCCTCGTCAGCTTTGAGGCCTTGAACATGATGCTGGACAACTACCGGCTCGGTGATCAGGCGAGGAGTCGTGCGTATGTGAAGCGCTGAAGGAGTCGTGCGTGGGTGTGTCTTTTTTGCTTTTATTTTTATTTGGGGGGGGAGCCCATTTTTTGGTTGCTTTTAAAGGGCCACCAAAGGGAAACTAGTATGTGTTTGGGACGGCCCTCATTTTGACATAAACTGGGTGGGGTATCTCGAGGGTTGGATCTAAAGACTGTCGGCGACTTCGAAGTATTCCAAGGGGGTCGAGCATCAAGACAAGTAGGGGGCCCAATCTACAAAGGTCAACTCGAAGGATCTTCGCGCGACTGGCGCTGAATTTGGAACTTGTCAACCTAAGTCCTCCGGTGGTGTCGTGACTTGTTCGCTCTTTGACCGAAGTAGCTTTTCGAGCTTTGGAAACTGACGGCTTCCTCCCAACTGGCAAGGAATTTAAGTTTATGGTTTTGGATTAGTTTGGTTAGAAATAGATGGCACGGCTAAGTCGGGAAGTCGGACTCCCTTTTTCCAATTCTGGAGGATTCCTGGGTTGCCTGCGGTCCGGCGCAATGGGCCGATCACACGGCCCTGGGCGGTTCGGCCTTATTTCACTGGACACACGCGTTTGCCACTGGACTTTAAGACTTTGAAGGGGCATTTTAGAAGTTTGGCGCCGCGTTTGGATGTTAAAACCATCACGACTCCTTTTTGTTTGTTTGACAAGAACCCTACAAGCTCCGCTTTTTCTTCGTGAGGTTGCATTTGGGTGTACCTCAGCGGGTGATTAGGTTTTTCCGACCCCGGTTGTCTGGGCCAAGAGACAGGTTTGGGATTGGAAAGGCAGCCCTCCTTTCCGCCCTGGGCAGATAGTGACCGCCAGCGGCTATGTCGAGCCCAAGGAAAGAGTCGTCCAGGCGCCGGTCGGGCGAATCAACCGGTTCCTCAAAGGGGGCGCCGTTTTGTTGGTGGCAAACAGGGCCTGCAGGTCTGCCCGTGTTGCCACCCCACATTTGCAGAAGAGATGTTGCGAGTGAAATTCATTCAACTCTGTTCCACATGAATGTTGTTCAAGAAGGGTGCTCCCGGTGCTTGGACACGCATGGTGTCCGGTTTGCTCCCAACCGTTGCGTGTACTTTTTCAGGGGACCTCTAAAAGGGTTCTTACAAACGGGTTCCAGCTTGTACGATTAGGCGTGTAGCATCCGAAAGGAACTCATTTGGTAGAACCCGTTTGGGGGCGAAGAGATGATATGGGCCTGCTGGATTTGGGACATGAAGCCACGTCCCACTTTTTGGGCTGCGGCCCAAAAGTTCGCACGGAATTTAAAAGGGGGGAGGGATTCGGTTTCCAAAAGGAGGTTCCTTTGACAACGATTTGGTTGGTTCCACATTCATATGCAGAAGCACACTGTGACTGTCACTCCTTCCGGAGTACCCTGGGCGTCAAATCATTTCGTTCATCGCCCTTGGAGGGTCAACATGGGTGTGGCTCTTTTATTATTCTCCATTATTTTTTTAAAGACACCGTGTTCATCCTGGTTGAAAGGGACACCAACCCCAATACCTCCATTTTTGGGGTCACCCTATTGTGGCACACCCCATATTTACTGTCACCTACAGTGCTACAGCAGTACAAGTAATGACATCGCGCACACTCACCAAAATACCATTTGGATATGGGGCTTGTGGTTTACTCACGGGGCCACAGTGAATATTGACCGTGCACATAGCAGGGAACTTGGCTTGGGTCTTGGGTGCCCTGGTGCCGCGAAGGCCAATCACCCTGATCATCCAATCTTCACCGAGATGCCCTTCTCTCTCCCTCCCTCCCTCCCGCCGTCTCGCCTTCCCTCCTTTCCTCCCCATCTCTCTTCTCTTAAAGGTGAGAGGCACCATCTCAGGCCCAACCATCATGAAGCAAGGTTGCCTCCGAAGTGGGTTCACCCTGACTCCGCCAAAGCCGCGAGTAAGGCAATTAAAACCTCATGGTCGAGCCACCTTGCAAAAAACACTCCTAGAATCTGGTGGGAGGGTGGAAGATCCATTTCCTCTCGAAGGGACCATTTCCCTTTCAGGTGCCATGGTTGTTTTATCTTACAACGGAACCAAAGAAAGCCAATTGCGGGGTTTCATAGTCCATATCAGAGCCCGCATGTGGGGCCCCGATAGCAGAAAAATCACACCCAAAGACACCTTGCATGGACCAGCACTTTGGGAGTTCTCCTATTTTCCTTTTTGTTATGGGGCGGGGGCATTGACACTAAGATGCTGTTTTTGTAGCCTCAATGAAATCATACATACAATTAAAAGACAGGTGGTTGCGAAATAGCCTCCAAGTGTCCTTGTGATGTTGGAGGGTTCCCCCGAACCCTCACTCCCGAGCCCCCCGCGCTTTCGTTCCAAAGGCAAATTTCTTACGTGGACCTTCCCCCGTCGCTTCGAGGCGAGCCAAGTGGGCCAAGAGGCAGTGGACGTGCTGGAGACGGCCAAGGAGTACTTCGGTACGCCGCTGAAGGCTTCCGAGTTTTTGCGGGGAGGTACTTTTAAGTTCGTTTCCAAGTTGTCGGCGAGCCACTTGTGTGAACCCCACTGAACGGGGGATGTATGAGTGAGTTGTGACCTAGCCAACAGACTTGCTAGATGGTGGCCAGAAGGTTTCCCTACCAGTGAACCAGCTCACTTCGGGGGTGCAAGTTCTTTGCTGAAGCCCACAAATGTGCAATTTGGGAATAGTTCGACCTCTTCGAATTGAGACCTTCGCTTCATGGTTTCAAACAGACAGCAGAAACCGAGACGACGACAGCCTCCCAACTGCCTTGCTTTCTGCTGCATGGAGCTCGCGGCCTGCCTCGATGGGGCTGGTTGGTATCATTTCATCGTCGGCTGGCATCTGCGAGGGCAGCGAGGGAACGAGAGAACAAGCTGGCGGGCATAAGAAGTGATGCCCAGCCAGAAGAAGTGTCAATTTTGCAACAGTTCCATGGAGTGGTTGTTTATATGCGTGTTGTCTCTACTGTATCATCCGCAAACCCCCTGTAAGGCAGCAGAGCAAAGGGATGTTGCCTTTTGCAAAAACCCTTCCTTCAGCATCTATGATAATAACAAAGTCTATCTTTTGGATGGGAAAACGAGGGAAGAAACAATTCGCAGAACCCTCCTCCCTTTCTTTGAATGGTAAAGCCTGGTTTGGCCAGGGTTTGGCCACTGTTTCAACATGTTCAAACCACTATTGCTCAAAAAATCAAGGTGTTTCTATTGGGTTTCCTTTCAAGGGGCAACCAGGGTCCGGCTGTTTAAACGCATTTTTGCCCAACCTGGTTTTGGCCGACTCGTCCCATCTTTCGATGCTTCGCTGCGGCGTCAGGTCAGTGGCCTGTCAGATGATCAGCGCACCTTGGCAGAGGAGAGTCAGAAGCGAAACCTGGCACGGGTCTTCGGCCAAGTTAGCAAGTGGTTAGTCACCTGGGTTATAGCGAACTGTGGGCTAATCCCACTTCAGGAGGACCCAGGCTACCGACAACTTAATAGCTTGGCAACAAACACTTTGTCATGGAGGGTGGCACTGGGCTCCCAACCACTTCAAGAGATGCGGAAAGCGTTCCAGCTTTTGATTCACATCCTCAGACGACCACCAGTTGGTGGTCTATCAACCAGGACTCATAGGGGGTTGGTCCATCCGAAGTGGCGCGAAGCGGATCCTGTCCATAGTTTTTGGCTGGCCTTGCTACCAGGCTCTGGCTCAGCCCCCAGAGACCTGTTTGGGTCCGGTTGGCACCCGTTCAAGCCAGTACAACATGACACCAGGGTTTAAAGGGGGATCTATGTTTGTTAACCGTCCATTTCCGAAGCAAATATGTATATTTCGTTCCCCCCTGATTTTAAAGGGAATATATGCACATATCTGTATGTTTTTCCAGGGGGCTTAAGCAAATGGAGATAAGCGGACGACTTTTGCCCTTTGAAGATACGAGCTCTGATTTGAGTGATTCAGATTGATGAGTTTTGGAGTGGGCGGGTAAAAGAGAGGGGGGCCCAACCGACCTTCAGGGGGTCACATTTCAGCTAACTCCTGATGGCAGGTAAGTTCATCATCCAAGCCATGCAGGCTTGCAGATGCCTGGCGGCAGTTCTGGGCCTTTGGGCCAATGGATTTCGTGGGTCAGTGGGAGGTTCGCGATGTTCCAACCGGTTGGCCTGAATCTGAGCCATAAAAATCTGGGAGCGTGTTGTTTTGCAGGGGAACTTTTGACCGTTTAAAGGCAGACCCATAGGGGAAAGCCGCGTTTTCTTTCCGCGGGTAGGCGGCCAACGATGGATGGTGCAGAAGGCATTCTGCCCTTTGGATTCTTTGCCTTCTTTTTTTATGCCAGGATTCGACTACCTTGCGGGTGGTTCCTCTTTGTACGGAGCACCCAGGGACCCCTGGCCTTTGAGTCTGTTTCTTCTCCTTCCGAAAGCCTGGGAGCAGATGCGCCACGGTCAAAGAGTCCACTTGCAAATTCAGGGCTTGCCCAAAACGCCTCAGTTCAAGGGGCATGCATTCTTTGAAAATGAAAACGAGTTTCTGAAGCCGACCACTTTCAGGGGGTCTCCCAGTGGCATTGAAAGTGGAGTTGGACTTGGTTTTGATGCACTCAAATCTGGACGACACCTTTGGGTGTCTTTTTTAGGGGACCCCGAAAAAGAAGGATTTCGGTATTCCTTTTGGTTTCCTCAAAGCCACAAACAAAAGGGTACCAAATCCAAAAAAATGGACGAGCTGCCCATATGCAGCCACCAGGGTACGGGAGCTTGAGAAGATTCCATGCGAGGGAGCTGTAAGAAAACGATGGCCCGCAAAAAAGGCCCCTACTTCAAGGTGTGGAGGAAGGATCATTCTTGTTTGTTGCCCAGATGGATGGGATCTAGCTGGGGAGGCGATGCGGATGGATATGGATATAGATGTGGACGGATGCTTCCAGCCGCCCGCCCATTCCATGGGTGAAATGGGGAAAAGAGGGGCCAACTTTTGCCCCGCATCATCGGGTCACGGGTAGATTTTTGTGTCGGTCAAGTGCCACCTCTTCTGTCTGAGGAGAGAAGTTAGACCGCTTCTTGGTCTCCCAGCTGCACCAGGGAGTTTCACGCCTTGGGACTCTGCGAAAGCCAGCAGGAAATAGCTACCGTTGCCAATCAGAGCGTCGACTGCAGGCGGAGCATGCCAGGGATAAACACGCGAGGGAACATCCGTTCCAAGCCAAGCAGCAAATTATCATATGGCAGGTTTCTCGGCGGGCGGTTGGGCTTGAGCATTGGGACAACGCCGGCCTTTTTCGCCGAACAACCATTTGGGTATGTGTCAAAAAAAGCAGACCCACCAAATTGTGTCGTTCCTTTTGGTCTCCCTTTAAAGGTCTCCAGAAACACACGCCCATGATGCCGACTCGCCGCGTCTGAGACCTTCCTGCCGGAAGAGGTGCTTCGGAAAGCTCGGAAGCGGGTGGAGGACGAGCGCCTCGGCGCTTGGGGGCGGGGCGGGCTCCCTGGTGCCTGAGGTCAGGTGGCCCTTTGGTGGTTTGGAGTGGTGGGAATTGATTTGGATTTGAACGAGTGCCTGGTTCTAGAGGGTAAATGGGAAACCCTTGCACCTCCAAAGACAGCAATCCAAATCGCCAATCCAAGCGGGAAGCCGATTTTCATTGGGATCGGGGTCCAAGGTGAATTTCCTCCGGGGGGGATGTTTTTATGGGGAGCCCTATCTCTAGTCCCCTTTTGTTGATATTCTTTTGAGACAATTCAATGGGGTTTCAAGAGCAGTCGCCAACAGCCGTTGGCTTTCCTTCGGTTTCCTTTTCAGCCGTTGGCTTTCCTTCGGTTTCCTTTTCAACGTCCAGGTCCCAAGTCTACCCTCAAAAGCCGTCAAAGCATGGACCAGGCGCGTGGAAACCATTCATCTTGCCAAGGAACGAGCTGAACATGAAGGAGTACGTCGGTGAGGCTGGACGGCGGCACTGTCGCTCCGATCTTTGGGTATGGAAACGGGCACCTTCATGAGCTTAAGGGAGCACCATTCACAGGTGCTGGTAATATACTTTTGGTTTGGGGCACGGGGGACAACTAGCTTTTCCATCAAAACCACGTCCTCTTGGGGAACAAGTGGTATCTACCACCTGTCAACTGTATCGAGGGGTCCGCAGTTTTGGCTCGTGGTGCTTGTCGGCACGTGTGGGCAACGATTTGGTGCTGGTAGCCTTTAAGCTACCCTCCTTCCAACAATCGTGGAAGCCAACAGAAAGGTATTCTTCCCACACCTTCCAACTGATTCATTGCAAATAGAGCCTTTGGAGTACGTGCTTTGTTGCGACAAAGTACAGTATTTGTCTTGAACCGATCCCATGCTGACAGCATTCGTTTCAGTTTCTTTTTTGCCGCTAAAGCAGGGTCAAAACTAAAGCTAGAGAGAGATACGCAGAGAGTTAGCCATAGAGAGGTGACTAGAGAGATGTTTCCTTGGAGATATCCAGCGGCAACTAAAAACCATTAGTATAAACCTGCGGTTGCACGGCCGTGGAGCCATTCGAATTCAGCACGCTTTATTAACAGGCCCCCCCCCCCCTTCCGGGAAAAACGACAAACATATACCTCAACCAAGCTTGGGGTTGGCTGTTTGGGGCCGCTTGGGTGCCCTTCACGTGCGGCTCACGTGAGGATGGAGGCATCCTGAATCCCGTGACTCTGCCGTGACTCGGCGTTTGTTTTGCTTTGTTTTGCGGCTTTCCGAGTGGGATTGATCATCAAGGTTTTCCGGGGGTCAGCGAGTGGGCAATGAATTTGGGTCTGTCTTTTTTTGGGGACCCCCCATTTTTTTTTGCCTTGTATGGTAGCGATCCATTTGTTAGAACTCATTAAAATCCCCCAACCCATGAGTTTCTTTCTTAGGAACTCCCACAATTTTCTGAAGCAGATTGTTGGAACTGAATGTTGACCAAGGGTGGTGCAAGGAGCTGGGGTGAGTTGAGGGTGAAACGGTATGCGGAGCCGGCGGGCCGGGTTTTGATACGTATTGCGATTTGGCCGTAGCTGGGTTGTGGTGTGGTGGCGTGCAATCGCATTTGCACATCGTTGCCAGGCCGCGGTGGATATAGGATCCCATGTACTACTGTTGGGTGGGCAGGTTTGGTCCATGGAGGTCCGCCAGTCGGGTCACCTGGTTGACCATCCCAATCGAGGCTTCTCTAAGGAGCCCATGCCGTGATTGCTAGGCTCAGTTCGGAGCACCCAGCGCAGCCTTTGTCTTCCAACATGTTGTTTTTTGTTTCATCGTTGATTCCAACGGAAAGGGATCCCACATTGAATGACACCCCCAATTTCGACTCTGCCCAACTGGTGCGACATTCATCATCCTTTAAATAGTTGACATTCACCATCCTTTTTGCTGCTCATGTGCAGTGTCTTGAGAATCCCATCAATGATCACCTACAAGCGGTATCCTGCGTTCCGCTCTCTAGTTCTCTGGCAAAGTTGCGTTTGGCCCCCTAAACATTGCAGGACTTACCGTGCCAACTCATTGTCCTGCAAATTGCCAGGCATACCAAGTACTCTACCAGTTTTTTCCTGCTTTTTGCTTCTCCACTTGCCCAAAGCCGACCTTTTGGCGTTTTCGTTTCCCCTCTTTGGCAATCAATTTTTTAGTCATGCCCCCCAAAGGTGATCCAGTTTTGTTTCTGGGTCCGGACTGGGCAACTGAGTTTGTGTTGTTGTCTGGTTTTATCCCCCTTCTCCTTAGGGGCACCCTTACCAGCCAACGAGCCGCCTTGCTCGAGTCGAGGTGGAAGGAGCCAAAGTCCAAGGTGCCGCGATGAGCGCCGGAGCGGGATGACCATTCAGTGCATCCAAGGGGACCGTGTTGGTTTGGCACAGCATTTTAGGTCTGCTTTGTTGGGTGTTTTGGGCTTGTTTAAAAGGAAGCCAGAGGGAACCAACCATCTTCCCTTTAGACCAACTCTGAAAATGGCACCCTTAAAGACGCGCACACCCATTTTGTTGCAGGCCGAACGAAAAGACAAAGGTCAGAGAACAAAAGCAGCTTTGAGGTTGGAAAAGCAGGCCCCTCCATCCAGGAATGGGAATATTCCGTTTCGTTCTGAAAATGACAATGGATTAATTGGGTATATACACATATATATATATATATGGCCAGTCCTTTCACTCAACAACAAAAATGCTGTCCCCGCCGGCATAAGGGCCAGTACTGGTTGGAAACAAGATATTACACAATATATTATATGTATATATTATATGCGCAATACACGCATTCTACAGATTTGCATATATATATATACATACACATATGTGACCATGCAATATATATATATATATATATCCATATTTGACCCTTGTTCAATGTGGCAATCTCAACAGTGATGCTGCTGTTCGAAGCCTGAGAGGTTCGAAAAAAACGGGGTGCTTGAACGGATTGCATCTTGACCCTTTGCACCTTACGCGCCGGCCTTCTCACTTGCCCAAAGCGCATCGACCATCTTTCTTTTTTTCCATGATGCCCTTCCGCCTTTCCAACCTGTACCTTCGACCATCCTCCATTGCTTGTCCCCATGTTTACGCCATTTCAAAGGCCCTCGACAGGTTCTTTCTCAGTTTCCATTTGGGCAAGTGAGTTACTGCCTCGCGGCCGAGAGACCGAAGGAGATATCAGTTTCAGCCCGAAGGCTCCCGAGCGAAAAGCGCGGCGGCTTCGCTGCCGTGCAACGGCGATGGGGTTGGTTTCGGAGGGAAACGCGGCTCCCTCTGAAACCGGTGACTTGGGGTATTTGGATAAGTGGTGAATATCCCAATTCTAATTGGGATTGTTCATACATAAAGCACACTTATGGGTTTGATGACCTGAGAATATTAAGCACATACTAGCTGAGGCCGCCATCCAAATAGAGATCCCAATGTTCCCCACTCCCTAAAAATGGCCGAGCCCCCGACCGAGGTGAGCTCCGATTTGTTCAGTTGGGTGAAAGTAGATGGCACAATTCCAACTCGTTTTGGATTAGTGACCCTCTTTGCAAACCCCGGCATTTCTTGCGCCGCCTACTTCTCGACGTCCTGGTTGCCCCCTTTGCTGCCATCCGTGCTGGAGAGTGCGGCCAGGTGAGTAAGTTGCTAGGTACCTAGGCTATAACCCACGTCTAAGTTCCCCCCAAGTGAGGTCAACCCTGACCGAACATCCATCTGGGTCAAGCAAATTGCAGGCTTGGGGTTAGACAATCAGGTCCCATGGAAGGCTCCAAAAGGCACATTGTGTCCGCCACTTATTGGCGTGCAAATCATGAAATGACTCGGGGGGACAGGGCTGGGGGCACTACCACTCTGTGCATTTGGCACGACAGAACAATTTCCAAGCAAGACATAGATGGCTTTGGTTCACCCGATCTGTTCTTGCCAAAATGACACCAGCGGGATCAAGAATGCTGGGCTTAAAGAGCAGTTTCAAATACAATGGCTTGGTCAAGAGCTAAGCTAGAAGCCATACCTCCTTGTTCAACCTTCAGCAACGGGTTCCTCGTTTGCGTGCATTTGTCTATGATTCGATACATGCCTTTGAGGCAGGTTCCCAACTACAACTGAATCGCTAAACCTACCATTCTTTGGGATTCGCATGCTGTTTTAGACAGCACTAGCACATGCTGTGGGAAGTTGCACTCCACGGCATCCGCTGAGGCTCGATTGGAGGCTAGGCCCAGGGTTGACCTTGGTTGCTAGAAACATCTGGATTTTTGTTGCAGGCAGTTGGGGCCCCTTGGTTCATTCCTCGGCCCCGTTCAGGGCGTCCACGGGTGAATCATTTGCTGGTAGGTCGGTAGGTCACAAGTCGCGGGGGGTTGGGCCCCATTACGCTAGAGACGGACACGGAGCCGCACACATCGGCCTACTTGCACACTGGTGCCCGAGGTTGCCGGAGGGCCGCCCACACTCTGGGCAAAAGGACCCGCCTAGGCCTTTCCCTCCCAAACACAAAGATAGAACCTGCACAGAGGCTGGAAGATCAGTCTCGTTTTTTGCAGGGACCCCTGTTCAGGTTCTATGTTTGTTTTTGGACGTGTAGCACCAAAGCGCAGCCGTCCCCCCCCCCCCGGCCTCGTGCCTGGACTGGGTGTTTGTTGGAGGGAGAGCCGAGGCCCGGACGTGGGGGTGGAGCTGGCGTGGAAGAGCAGAAACATGGACTTCGCGATGCCGTACCTCATCCAGGCGGGTCAAATGATGTCATGTCGTTACGGCCCCCCCCCGCCCCCCCCAAAAAAAAGAGCGAGTGGTCTTCCTTGGTTTTGAGAACCACCCAAAAGGGGCACCCGAAAAAAGCCACTGGTCTCCAGTTCGGGATGCCCACATTGTGCCGGGTTTCAAATCATTTGGCGCTGTTTTGGAGTCCAAAAAGGGTACCCTTTCGAAAAAGCAACCAAACCGTGAGTTCCAGGGAGAGCCCCAATATTGTTTTGGTTCCTATTGGCTTCCGTGCGCGGTTCACATTGACATTTGGTGCAAATCATTTGGTGCAAATCAATTTACGCAGCTGAAACATCAGCTGATCGCCAAGGCTTTCAGGGAAACATGGAGCGCACAGGGAAGGCCGTAGGGTGGGTACCTGCCTGATGTTCCGAGCTTTTGTCTGAATTTAAAGCGATTCCCTGCCGATGTGGGTTGGCAAACCGAGCAAACACCAACGACGTATGTCATGTACATGGGGATCCCTTATTTTGGAATTCCTGCACAATTCGCAGTTCTGATTTATTCTCTTTGTGTTTGGAAGGGGTCATTAAACAACGCCAGGCGATCTGCCCGTTTTCCTTCTGTGCTAGGAGTGGGTTTGAAACTAGCAGAAGCCAACCATGGGCGCGAAATCGAGTATAGCATCTTGTTTCCCCCAATGCCCAACCAAAGGGGCGTTAAAACACGTTAGGCCCCCAATTTTCAGGGAACACCTGGTTGGTGGCTTGGATTGGTGGGAACTAGGGATTTCAACGCTTGCTTCTTGTAGAGGGAAAGCGGGAAACCAAACCTAACCACTAAACCGGGCTCCAAACCATCAATTAATGGGAAGCTGAAAGCTAGCGCCCATGCTCCCAAGGGTCGATTGCCCAAGAACGACTGCCAGGTGCTGAGGGAGTACACTGACCGCGTGAATGCGCTGGACAAGAAAACGCCACCTGCCTGACAAACATACAGGTGTGCCTTTTTGAGGATGGAAGGAGCACCCATGATTTTGGGGTCCTCCCAAAAAAGTGGAGCCACGCATATAGGGCCCCTACCTTCGTTTGACCTTTGTGACAAAAGGTGGACGGGGCCAAAACCAGTTCGTCCAGCTCAGGCAGAAGAAAGAGGAAGAGGAGGAGAAAAACAAGAGCGCCGGCATCTGAGTTTTCTTGTCTACACGGGGAGGGTCATGTCGCTGTTGCAGATAAGACCGGAGTTATGTAAATCATTTCAGCATTTTTGCATGCATCGTTGAGACAGGGGAGTGTCCTGTGCCACTTTTAGGTCTTGGATGAATGATTGATTCCACTGGTTTCAGTTCGAATCCTGAGCGATTTGTGCCCAGAATCCTCACGACTACGTGCCGGACTACATGATGCCCACCATGACCCCAGGCCGAGCAAAATGGCAAGAGCTGGAATCGGCTGGACGTTTTGCATGTCTGCAATTTAGGGGGAGTCCCTTGTTTGGATAAGACCTCCAGTGGTGCCCCCTTTTTAGTTTTTTCGAGGGGGATCCCTTAAAATCGAGTACGAATCAAAGGAGCCTGGATTTGCAAGGGAGAGTACAAGAGGGTTCCCTGGTAAGGCATAAGCCTGGATTTGTCTCGGCGTCTGAAATGCATTTTGCACCCTTGGCTGGGCGACATTGGTCGTCCAGACCAGGGGTTCAGTGCACACAATGTTAGTCTAGCGCTCGTTTCTCTTTTGTCGCCATGCAGTTTTTTGCCAATCCACTCAGGAAGTGGGTCTTGTAGCATGTTAAGGGCCGTGGCAAAAACCGAGTTGACACTCACACAGCCTTTTGTTTCGGATTCGGGGCATTGGAGTGACATCATTGCTTGGATGTCCAGCCAACTTGGTAGGTGTGACTCATAACCATGGCAATAACTTGGGAACTGGGGTTGGTCCCCTTACAACCAAGCTCATAACCTACTTACGCAGTTGGTTGAACATCCAAGTAGCAAAGGGTTCGCTCCTTAGAGTTCACCCATCATTTCCCACATAACCATTGGTTCGGAAGGGGCCGCACGACATCGGTGGGAAAAGCCTAGTCGGTGTGGTAAGGATGAAGTTTCTGAAAAGCAGCATTGAATTTGACAGGCCTTCTGTCAGGTTCCAAGTTCACGTTTCTTAGAACTGCGCAAGCAATGAACATCAATCAAAAAGAAACAAATGGGAACAGATGGGAATGCAAACAGATGGGAACACATGCAATCACTACAAGCCGAAGAATCTTGATGGGAACCTCCAACGCGATGTCCCGCCATGCGCCCGCCAGCCAGGACTCACGGGCTTCGGAAATCTGGCGCTGACGAGTGGCCCTGGGCCTCGGGTTGGCGGCCGCGCATTTTGTGCTGAGATGTCTTTCTAGGACACGTTTAGGATTTTGGATGAGGTTTTTGTGAATCCACCCCTGTTGGATGTTAAAAGAGTGCTACAAGAGTACTCAAAAAAAGAACCTACAGGGGGAAGGACAGGTGAAATCCACAAAAGACGCATCCTAACCGTTTTCTAGAGTCTTGTGTTTCTTGACATGACATGGTGTCTCTTGGTGTCGTTTGGCATTTTCGTTGCTTTCGGGCGCCTTGGGTTGTTTTTGGCCGTGGGATGGGGGATTTGTGAGTTTGGGGCAGCTGCCGTGCGAGTCAAGATGGGATTTGATTTGTTGCTTTCGGGTGCCCGGGTGAGCCAAGCAAGCTGCTTCAATTTGCAAATCATTTGCAAATGGAGATGTGTGGGGTGCTTCCTTTTTGCAGGTACTCAGTTTATAAGTGGTTTTCAAGGGGAACCACGGGAACACCAATTTTGAGGGTCCCCTGGTTGGGGGCCTCCTCTGGAGTCGGTCATCCATTGATAAACGGGGTCTGTTCTGAGGTTTCAGGATCTCCTAACATGGGTTGGTTTCAACTTGGCTTCCGTCAACACTGCAGGAAAGAGGCTCCATGTTGATCTAGGAAATGTCCAACACTGATTCAGGGGCATAGCAAAGGGGATGGGAAGGTCATGCACGCGAATGATTCTCAGGGCCCCTAAACGCCCCTAATAGTCACTGGACTTCTATTCTACAATGGCTCCTGCAAGTCGGCTCTGAATCAATGATCATATTGTCCTGTGGTTCCCTCACAGGGATGCTCCGACCATTCGAGTGGCCTGGTTTGCAGCGGAGGCCCGGCGAACATGCCGATGATGTGGGGCGCCCGGGAGATATTGCCTCGACTCACTGGATCTTTGAACAAGCTTTGTTACCATGGCGGAGAACCCCCACCGAAAACGGGCGCAAGGTGCGGATAAATGCTGCCATACATGAGGTTTGCGTTGGGGACCATCCTCAAACACCCAGTTCTTCAGAGGTTTCGGAGAGTCATTCGGTTGGGGTCAACCACTAAAACGGTATCATGGACAGCCGCTAAAATGCCCTCACTTTCCTGAGTTGCTGGACTTTATTATATACTTTTTGGAGCATCGTTTCAGTGGCAAAGAACCACTTTGAACCTGTTTGGGCTAATCCACTCGGGAAGCGAGTGCTTGCACACAACCTCACTGCACCGGGCCAGCCCTCCGAATCTGAGGGGCGGCGGCATGCCTGGCATGCAGCAGATGGGCCCTGGCCCGCAGCAGGGCGTGCAGGGGCACCTTGGCAGCATTGGATGTGGTGATGTGAGGGTTGACATCACGCCACATCTTGGTTTGAAGTTTGGATTGATTTGGTGGTTTGATGTGGTGACAATTTTTCTATCCAAACCACCAAGCAAGGCTTAACCTGATTCAGTTCCCCCCCCCCCCCCAAGTGGTGGTTTGGTTTGGCTGGGGCCTGGTTGGATCCCGGACAGCTGAGCTCTTGATTCTCCAAGGAGTGTTTGGGGTCCACAACTGCCGGCTTAGGCCCAGCATGCTGATGATGACACCACCCAACATGGGCGGCTTCTAAGACCTCGGCGGTCGCAGGCGCCCGGTGTTTCGATCTGATGGCGCGCGATATCGATCCGTCTGGGATCTTGGGGGTGGATCCCCCGAATATGGGTGTGTCTTTTCTTGAGGCCGCCTTTTGGGGTTGTTTCAAGAATAATGGGGTTGTCCGCGAGATTGTGCTTCGGCGTGGTCTTTGGCTTGTTTTTGGATGCCGAACGTTGTTTGTTTTGCTATCACGCACGGATCAGGTGCAGTTTCGTTTCAATAGATTGCCGACTCATATTCCATGCGGCTATCCAGCTCCCGAATGATGCAGGTGCGGTTTTTGAATCCTGGGAAGGCATTTTGGAGAGATCCCGTGCTGAGGTTTGACTGCAGAATGCGTGCCACCTTTACACGATTTCCCATGCACACTGCAAGTTGCAGCGGAATTGAAGCCTCTGAAGCGACCCTGCCTGCCGACCCGCCAGGCACGCCGCCCGCCAATGCTTAACGAAGCTGACCTACTAGACGGGTCGCTGAGAAAAACATCTTTTCGTGAGGGCCGGCTCTGGCGAGGCCGTCCCGGCCGTCCCGTTTCGGCCACTGCATGACAGGTTTGGCAGCTTGAGCTACCACGTACCGCCTGCAACACGGGCAGACAACCAGCGGTAGAAAAAGGGACAGCGCAACTCGCCAGCGCAAGTCGCCAGCGCAGCCAGGCATGATGATTGATGTTGTGTGCTTGGCTGGCGACTGGTACTGCGCAGGAGCACTCCCCCATTTTCACGCCTCGAAGACGGCTCTCAGGGCTTTCTGGGTACCCTGCATTCCCAGATCAGGCGCTCAGTGCCTTTCGAAACGGGGTGGCCTTCCAAATTTGGTCCTGGGAGCTTCTCAAAATGGTGGGCCCGCTTGGGTTGGTATTTGAAGGGAAGCAAAAGGGATACCGAAAGGAAAGCATGCAGTTGACCGTGGGGAGATTTTCAGGAAGCCCTCTTTCAACATTTGGGTGTATCTCGCTTTGAGTTGATACCCTGTTTGGGGTTGGGCTAAAGGGAAACCAAAAGGAAGACTGCTGAAATCCATGTTGGGGTTCCCCTGATTTGACACATACCCATGTGGCAAGTTGGTAGGGCCACTTGTGGTTGAAATCCCATAAGACGCAAAGGAATGGAGTTGGCCATTTCTCACGGTCTTCAAATGGGCGCGTCTTTTCTGAGCTCTTTTCTTTTTTATTGATTTAAACAAGGATGGCTGCCATTTTGCGGGTCCGATTCCTAAACCACAGCCAACTGTGCCTAGCTTTAGCATCTTCTGGCGCATCGTTACGAGCTGCCCGAGCGAAGACCCATGGCTGGGCAGAGTCCATGTAGGCGGGAGAGTTGCCGACGAAAGCCCACCTAGGAAGCTGAAAATTGCAATTTCTTCGCTTTGATGTTCAATCTTTTGGTTGACTTTTGTTTTTTGTTAATGTTTTGAACTGCTGGCAATCCACCGTTTCTCCCAGGGTTTCCTGTCAAGAAGGTAGCTTCCCAAGCTGAGGTACTTTGCTGGTGGACAGGTTGCAGCCTGCACACGACATACCTTGTTGATACATACGCCCCCTATTTGTCGGCCATGTTAGTGTGTAGTTCCACCTTGTTTCCCAGGGGTTACAAAGGTTATTGTGAGGCAAATATATAAGCACAAGCAGCGTTCGCAACTTGCCTTTTGCATGGCCAAACATATTACCCACTACACTCTTTGACGATCTTGCAGAACGCATGCCGTCAGACATCAGTTCCGGGGAGGCTTACATTACCGAGTTGGTAGAGAACCAGTTTTCAGCAATGTGTTTTGCGCGCTTACGTGCTTGCTTTCCTGTGACTTTGACAACACGTTTTGAGCTGCTCGGGCCATCTTCCCGCATTGAACCAACCCAAGAAGGGTTCCCCCAAAAAGAGATGTGACGTGTCTTTTCTTGGGGCTCGGTATTCTTGTGTGTGTGTGTGTTTTCGCCGCTAGTTGAAAGAGGACGCCTACATCGGTTTGGGGGGTCCGATTCCTGAAAGGAACCACACCCATGATTGCTTGTCTGGGTTCCAGGAAAATCACTCAGACCCTTTCCTTTCAGTTCCCATGGCGCGACCCTTGCGCGCTCTTGTCTCAGGACCCGAGTCCCGCTCAATGGGTTCAAATACATCGGTTCCGATCCCTTGCACAAGACGTTCTCCTGTGTGTGTGTGTGTTTGCGTGGCCTCCGAAAGGACCCCAATTGTGAGAACTCATTTGGGGCCACCAAAATGGTCAAGCAAGTTTCCCTGCTTGTTGGCTTTGTGAGAGATCCAGTTGAGGGCAACTATGCAAGAGCATTTCCCAGGTCCTTTGGCTGACTGACTTTTTCCAAAACAAAAGTTTCAGACCTTCAAACGACGATTGGTTCTCTTTCCTTAGTGGTAGCTGGGACGGAGGAAACGCAGACAGGGGTGGTTTCCCCAAACAAGAAGTGCCCTCAACACAGGCACTGGGGTGCGAAGTTCGGCTGGGGAGCTTTAAGCATCATTTTTTGGGGTGCGTTTGAACATTCCCTCCTTTGGGATGGATCCCCAAGCCTGTCAAACCCGGATGTAAAAGAAAGCCCTGGAATTTCGGGCAACTTTCGGCCCCTTAGACACAGTTGCTTTTGGGCCCCGGTTTCCCTCTCACCATTGGCGAAGGTGAAACTTTGAGGATGTCTTGTAAAACTGGGCGAGGACACTCGGACTTCGAGTTCCGAATTCTGGGACCTGGCAGGTGAGCCCGGGCCCGCGATGCTGCAGCCGGGGCTCGGGCCAGGCCGGGTGGAAGGAAGGGGCCCATGGTCGGATGAACCCCCCATGACAAGGGGACAGGGGCTTGATTCTGGGCTTAACGTTTGGGGCTAGTGTTCCTATTGCGTGCCTGGGGCTCCAATTCCTCTTGGCCTTTGACCCAAGTCGGAAGGAAGCCCTTCCTTTGTTGCTCTTGCTTGCTCTTGCCTGTTGCTTGCTTGTTTTGCGTTGCCTTTTCTTGTTTTTGCTTGTTTGTTTTTGTTTGCTTGTGTTGTTTTGTTTGTTTGTTTGTTTGTTTGTTTTGGTTTGTTTTGGTTTGGTTTGGTTTGGTTTGGTTTGTTTGTTTGTTTGTTTGTTTGTTTGTTTGTTTGTGTCTTTTCTTTCTTGCGTTCTTTATCTCATTCATGTATTTGATTTGTTCATTTCACTCGTTCATTCAACTCATCCATTTCATTCATGTATTAGATTCATGTCCTTCTTTCTTTCTTTCTTTCTTTCTTTCTTTCTTTCTTTCTTTCTTTCTTTCTTTCTTGCTTTCTCGCTTTCTTGCTTTCTTGCTTTCTTGTTTTCTTGCTTTCTTGCTTTCTTGCTGTCTTTCTTTCGTTCTTTCTTTCTTTCTTTCTTGCTTTGTCTCTTTTGTTTCTTCGTTTCTTTGTGCTTGTGGCTTTGCTTTATTTTGTGGGATGGTTGTTAGTTAGTCTGGTGTTAGGGCTTGGTAGTGAGATTGTTTGTTTTTGTCACGATGTTTTTTCAATACTTGTCTTGTTTCTCCCTCGTTCTTTCCGATTTGGCCGATCTCGGTTTCTCGCGATTCGATGGACAGTGTCTTTCTGGACCTTTTGCCCAGCGTGCCGCTTAGGTCATGGGATCTCTGATGCTCTTTGTCCATGCTGGTCCTCAGTCGTGGATCTTCATGCTTCTTTGTCTGTCGGTCTTAAACTTGTTGCATCTCAAATGTCGGTTGTGATGTGCTTTGAGAACTAGGTTCTGCAGCTCGTGCCACCTTTCACTTCCCTCATCAGAGAAATGTTGGCCCTTGGCAGCTCTCAAAATGGCATCTGTCTGGGACATCTTCTCGACGAGCCATAGTGCGCCAGGGGTACCACTCATATGCGGGTGTCCTGAAACGAAGTTTTCTAAACGAGTCTGCCGTCAAATGAGTCTTTCCTAGAATAGCTTGTTAGCCTTTGGGATGTTTTCTTTATTTATTTATTTTGTGGGAAACCAAAAGGGACCCATTGCCGATTTGAGGGGTGCCCGCTGATTTGGCACCATGTAGAAATGTTGCTCCCTGAATAGGGCTCCTTGTGGATGGATACAATCCTGCACCATGTGGAATTGGAATGGATGAAGTCCTATGAATGCTGGGATTAATTCCAGTTCTGTTCATCCATGGTTTGCTGGCTGTTTTTGTTTTTCCTCCTTCAGGAATTCATGGTCGTGATACCGCACAGGCCCTTGGTAACTTGGGCAAGCCTTCTTCTGTTTATGCTTACGTCTCACTTGGGTCCTCGATGCACCAAGCATATCATATTTGGTATTCAGGAGTGTGGGGGAATACATCTTTGGCGTGCCTCCTTCGCAAAAATGGTAGGGAAAACACAAATAAACACAAACTGCGGTGACCTTTAGACCGAGGTTTGCAACCTCGCCCACAATGAGAGTCCCTTTCTTGTGCAGCCCCTATTCAGGGGAGCCCGGGGATGACTCGCGGGATGTGGTGGCGCAGATGGTGGTGAACAAGCTGAATTCGGCGCGCGGATGGAAAATGGGAGGTGAATGGGGGGCGAGCGCCCAAATCTACTTCCTGGGGATTCTGCTGCCTGGTTTAATGGAGGCTAGAGGGGGAAAGGGACCAATCTGTTGCTGGGCGCGTCTTTTCCGGATGATCTCGATTATCCGGATGGTTGCGTTTTGGACGGGTGTGGGTGTCCCCGCATCAGACATATTTCATTGGAGGTGACAACCTGCAAATGCAGTACATAGTAGGGGTATATAAGGGTTGCCCTTTGACCGCGTCAGCATCTGACAATCGACTTTTGGTCTAGACATGGCCAAGCAAACCCAGGTATTTCCACAAATTTGGAGAAAGTAGTTCAGTCCGTGGGTCTTAGACCATATCTGCCATGGTTAAAAACACCCCTTTACCAAGGGTTGATGGGGATGGTCATCAACCCTCTCCTACAAATTAACATGGCCTCCCAAAATGGGGTCAGAGACCTTTGAGAACAAAATTGTTTTTTTGGGCTCCTTCCATGTTATTTTGTGGGAGTGTAATTGGGAATCCTTCCCGGAAAGGGAGCGAGCCACTGCACTGCCCCATCGAGTTTCAAGCTATGTGCCATATGCGAATTTCACAAGTGCACCCAGCTTTCCCATATCCTGTTGGGGAAACATTCGCGTTCTTGTTTGTGGCCGTATCTTGATTGGGGGGGGGGTGCAAGCTGAACTTTTCGATTTAGAGGGTATCCGAATCTCATATCAAAAGCTCCTCTACCCCTATCAGCTCCTTTACAGCTCCCTTGTAGTTCCTCTACAACTCTCTATAGCTCCTCTACAGCTCCTCTATTACACTTTTGGAGGGCGAACCACTCATTTTGAGGGTTGTCCCCCGAAACGCCACTGGTTTCCCTTCGGGTTTCCCTGGGGTTTCTCTTGGGTTTTGCTTGGGTTTCCCTGAAACGTCTCAAAGCAAAACGGAGAACCGCGGACCCTTCCCCTCGCGCCCCGCTTCGACCAGGCCGGGGACTTCCACGCGCTGGTGGACTCGTTGGTCTTCGCAGCGGTGTCGGCCGGGAGCCATGGGGTCCACTGAAGGGTGGGCGCCCCAACGGTCTGAATCAGGGGACACCTCCCCGATCGAAGTCAAGGGAGGGTTATTCATCCGTCATGAAGAAGAACCAGGAAGTCAACCTCCAAACCACAAACCAATGAGGGGTAACCTGATGAAGGAAACTGGCCTTTTGCCGGGAGTTTTCAGATTTGTCCCCCCCCTCCCAGCCCCCCAAACAGAGAAGAAACAACCGAAGAAACAACACGTCCCAAAAAGGGTGAATGGGCAGAGGCAAAGTTATTTTTGTTGGGTCTGTTTGACATCGGCCGTCGGCCGATTTTCAGAAAGGTGCTCTTGCTTTTGTGATGCTTGCAGGAGACGAGACACATGGGGACTGCGGCCGCATTATTTTCACATGGCATGGGTGGCAAGTAAGTGTGAGTGGCCCCGTTTTGTCGAAAACATCCATAACAGGTACCCTCTTTCAAGCGGACAGGATTTGATTTTGATGATGTTCTTCCAACATCCTCCTGTCAGCTTCCCTTGCCGAACAACGGACCAAGTCACTCCTGTCAGCTTTTGTTGGACAGCATGAGAGTCAAAACTGGCACTTTGCAGTCCATCAATAGCAGAGTTCGAACTCTGAAAGGATTCCGACAAAGGTTGCGGTGTGTTTCTTGTTTCTCAAATTGCAGAAACACAGACACAGACATGGTTTGTTTTTCGTCCATGCTCTTTGCTTTGACTCTTTCTAGGGGTCATCAAAGTCAGATTCGGGAGATTGGGGGTTGTTTCCCTTTAACCCGCCATTCAGGGACTTTCCCACCCCAAAGTGGTCCTGTTGATCTCCGGGGTCGCAACAATCATCTTCGGTCAAGGTCAACCTTCTTTTGGGGCTGGGTTGGTAGTTAATCAAAGGGAAACCAAAGTGATTTTTCGCAACACCACCTCACTCACCAAGTTAGTCCCCTTACTAACCAACCCCCGCCCATGATCGATTGCACTCCATTCCCGTTGGAGGGGGTGGTTTGTGTTTATGTTTTGGGACATCCACCACTTTGGGGGGTCGCTTGGATGTTTGTGGCCAGGCTTGCGGCTGGCCACTTGTGAGAAAGCCCAGGGTTAACCCCACATTCACGGGAATTTATGAGCGGCCTACGACCTGGGCTACCAGCAACCTAGCAAAACACCAACACAAAGCACCCACCAAAGCACAACACAAACCACCCCCAACGCAAACCACAGAAAACATAAACACAAACCAACACAAACCAACACAAACCAACACAAACCAACACAAACCAACACAAACCAACACAAACCAACACAAACCAACACACACCAACACACACCAACACAAACCAACACAAACCAACACAAACCAACACAAACCAACACAAACCAAAAAAGACACAGAAACAGACGAAGCATTCGGAAAAAGTCCCCCAAAAAGACATCCAAGGGCGACGTCCGATGCTTTGCTTCGCGCAGGTCCTGACAGCGCTGCTCCTCTTTAGTTTCCTGCGCCCGGGTCCCGACCCGGGCGGGTCGGGCAGCTCACCTGGCACGTAGGGTGTTTCTACCGGGGCTGAGTCGTGTTCGCGCGTGTCTTGTTTTAAACGGGTAATTACAGGTCTCGTTTTGGGGTTGGTTTAAAGGCGAACCAAAAAGAAACCACCAAGTTTTGAGGGTCCGCCTATTGTGAGACATACCCATTTCTCTGTTTTGGACCTCCAACAGTAGCAGTTTCAACGGAAACTACGAACATCCAGTGATCCGATTCTGACCCCAGGAAGACGAAGCCGATTCTTTTCCGGAAAGCTTCCAGTGCACTTCCATGTTTGTTGCTGGAAGGGTACCTGATTGGAAATAAGCATGGTTGCTTCCCTAAAACTTAGAAAAACAACATCCCACTGTCAAAAGTTCTTTGGGCAGCCTTTGGTACACTTGCCCATTGTTTGGAATCCAGTTTCCCCTGCCAATCCACGCACCCTATGCATACATATCATTTTCCGCAGGCCCTGTGCTGCAGAACACTAGCCAAGCCTTCCGAGTCGGGGCTGAAATGGATCTTTAGCTTGGGGCTTGCTCATTGCCCAAAGTCGGACTTTTATCTTGTGGTCCCTCTTTTTTTGGTGCGTATTATTGGGGGGGGGGCGTCCAAAAAGGGGCGCAGCACCAGTAGAAGGCCCTGGTTTTTTCTCGAGCGGGTGTGTCAACAGCTGCGATGTGCCGGCCGACACTTTGAGTCTTCCCTCCAATGATGGGCTCACCAATGAACAGGGGGACGGGTGCCGCTCCGGCAGGTTTCCCAGATGCACAGATTGGGGGGTGTCTCTCAGGGGCTCCCCAAAACAGCAAGGTTGAAAGGGTTATTGGAGTTGTGGCCGTGAGTGACATAAGGGATTTTGACCATGGCACAGTTGTGTTCATTTGGTCAATCAGGTCTGATTTCACCCAGCATCATCCTGCTGAACTGTGGCATGTGCACAATGGGAGTTCAAACTGGACCCCCTCGTGGCAAATATGTGGTCCTACTTGGGCCGCAAGTCTTTTAACTTTTGCACGGCCAAAGATTTGGAAGCGGGTGGTAAAATGAGACCTACCAGCAAGGGTCTTGGTGGGAGCATTTGCCATCTGGGATAGGGGATAGGGCTCTTCCACTGCATCTACTCCCCCAGGGCACCAAAAGGCGGGAAAGTGTGTGCAGGGAAGGTGAAAGGACGCCAACCTTCTGCAACATTTATTATTCTATTTGAGGACACACTTTTATGTGGCAATCGCCAATACAGGTGACTTTTGATCACTGCGATAGTGTGACTCTGCGCATGTACACTTCTGTAGGCCCAGTCTGTTTCGGCGACAAGCGAACCATAAGCTTTGTGTTTTGTTGGGCATTCTGGAACAACAGGCTACACTTGAGCTGCTTCTTCAGGGTTGATTCACAAAGTGTTTGGCTGCCATTATATTTGCTGAGTTTGCCTGTTGCTGTGATGTTGATTTGTCATCTACTCGGAGCTCTGTTGCGGCACCTGAACCTCAGGCCGGTGGTTCCCAGGCATTTACGAGTTCAACACCCAGGCGGGGACGTGGCTCAGAGGGGAGTCTTCTCTCTTCGCAAATGCAGTGTTTGATTCATAAGGGCCTTTGCCCTGGCGAAATCGTGTGCTTTAGCAATTCACCAAAATGGTGGTTTTCCTTTGGGTTTTCATTTCAAACCACCAACAAGGCGGTACCAAATCCAAAATAATACCCACATGACTTTCCCAGGCGGTGACAATTGCGGCAGTTCGAGCGCATGGCCATTCGATGGTGTTTTTCGAGGGTTCCCTACTTAGATTGGCTTCGAGGGAAGCCAAAAGGAAAACCATCGTTTGCAGGTCCCCCGATTTTTATAACTCATTTGTCCAAGTATTTTCCGTTTCGCAAGTCTGCTTTACGATTATCTAACAAACGTGACGACAAGAAGTCAAACCACTTTGACTTCGATCCTTCTTTAGGTCACCTGCTTTACTTTGTTCCATCCATTGTAATCTATATTTGCGTAGGTCACCTTTTACGAGAGTGGGTCATCTGGTCTACATCTGGTCTACCTTGATCCAATAATTTTGATCTTGACCGTGGGCTGATCAGCTTTTTCTTTTTCGCGTTCATCTTCGCTGCGTCTCCGCTGCCGTCTGGGCCTCTCCTTCCGTGCACGGGCGGACTCCGCGCCTTTGACGTGGTCGCCTCAGCTTCGGCGTGGGTGTGGCATATGGCCTAAGCTGGTTGCCAAAGGGGCGTGTCTCCTTTCCCCAAAAAGAAAACGCAAAGAAAGACATACCCAAATCTGGGCCGAAGTTGCTCATGGAAGTGTAGTGTAGTGTGTGAATTTTCCATCCTAGTTCACGCCGTAACAACGTGAACGTGGGTTCTGGTTTCCGTTTTCAACCATCATCCACGATTTCTCCCCGGATTTGTTGGAAACACACATGTGTGAGTTGCCACTGGGTCAAGCGAGGGAGTGTTTCCACATCGGCAAGTGAGCGCTGGGTTTGAGTATCTTCGTGCTTGACCCGCGTTTCCTGATTTTAGCCCTTTTTTGAGCCTTGTTTTTGCTTCGTTCCCCAACATAGCGGCAGCTTACGTCTTATTTTCCCTGCATCCGACTCATTGTTTGGGGACTTCTTTTGTGAATGTCTAGGGAAGCAGCCGTGCTTGCCATTTGTGTGAAGAAAAGACCGCGGGACCAAAGTAGTTTCATGTTGATGATTGTGATCCATTTGAGCAGCATCTTCTTAGACTCGAGTAGCATTTTCTTAGACTATCGCATATTGGTTTTATTTTCTCGGAATCTGTGCTCTTAATCATATCATTCCGTTTATGGCTCACGCCAAAACTGCTCTTCACTCCCCCGGCTCGAATCACATCTCTTGCCCTTGTGTCGAGCCACATGTGATTGAACACGTGGGTGTGCCCTTTCTTGATGCTCTCGTTTGGTGGTTTCCCGATTTTTAGAGACACCCACATGACCTTAATCCAATCCCCCCCCCCCTACCAAAGAGGGGGGAGGGCACAACTGGATCCCCGTTTGAAACTTGGCAGGTGAGTTTAGAAACAAGTTAGGCATACGCCCCTGACCCGAGTTCCTTGAATTCAGGTTAGCTTCTTCTTGGAATGGGAAATTGTTGGTTTCCTCTTTCTCCCATGGCGTTGCTTCAGAAAGCAAGCTTGCGGTGCTATCATTCAACCGTTTATTTACACCTTTTTTTGCACTGCAAACATGGACTGGTCTCCAACGGTCCTAAAGCCAAGAAAAGATTTGGCGACCCATCAGGAGAACGGCCGCTCGTTTTGTTTGGCAGCCACAGCCGCTGTTTTTTGGACGACTGGTGCGCTGGCTCGCGCCTTACGAGCATGCTTGTAGAGGGAGTCCCTTTGTTCTACAACTGGGGTTGGGCAAACCGCCTGTGTCCAAAACATGGGTGTGTGTCTTTTCTTAGGGGAACCCCAAAATCATCAAACAAGCGCAAAAGGAAACCAACAATGACAGACCCAAATGAGTCTTTCCTATGGCTTTTGTACCCCTGGATGGCGTTTTCTGGGAAAGCAAAAGGGACTTGGCGAACTCTTGGGGAAGAGCCACACGCCCGCCGAACTTTCAGGTGTACGCCAGAACCTTACCTTCGCACCCTGGCGTTGGGAAGTGGAAATCCGGGCGATTCACACCCCCAAAGTCCACCCCCCCCCTGTACAAGACAGCTGGGTTGGGAAGGTTGCAACATGACTTACATAACCAGACCCTGGTCCTCTTCAAACAATGGTAGAAGCAGGATTAAACAAGGGGTTGGCCCTGACCCTTGTGTGGAGGGTTGCTTAACGTTCTTTCCCCTGGAAATGCGAACGTTCCACCCAGAAGCCCAGAAGGTGCCCGAATTTCAGGGGGCTCGATCAACCGCTGGGGCAAAAAGGCGCCGCATGGCATCGAAACAGGTCGCAACAAGGGCCGCGATGGTTTCGAGCACCTGGACGCTCAGTTGTTTGAAGGGTGATCACCCCGACTGTAGCTTTGGACAGGATGGCGTGCCTCGCAATGACAGTTTCAATCAGGGCACATGAGCAACACATGCGCAACCTGGAAGGCGGCAAAGCGTGGCACTTGCACCCTCTCACATCCCCTCACAACAGCATCTGAAGAGTCCGGACGAGGACTTTCAACCCTCAACCCGTGATTTTGCTTCGGGAGGGAATGTAGAGGTAGGCATAGCGCATGTGAAAGCTAGCATCGGGGAGCACAGACCAACTCCACTCTCGCTTGCTAGGGTCTTCAGCCTGTCCACTGGAGAAGCCAACTAGCTTCTGTTTCTTTGTTTTTGAGGGGGGGGTGTCCGAATCCAATTTTAAGACACCCGCAATTCGACCAACTCGGCAGGCGAGACAATTTTCAGCTCCTCCAGGATTTGTTGAATTCACCCCTGGCTTTTGTAAAGGGTAAATGGGGAGCCACCCTCTAGCCACTAAACCACCAGTCCACACGACCAATGAAAGGACGCTGAAAAAGCATGAGGTCCTAGAGTTCTCACCGACAGCGGACGCCACAGGTACGCTTCACCTTATCCGGTTTGTGCCTCTCGGCCCGCCAAGATCACTTGAGCCAAGCCTGTCTGCACAGGGTTTCTTTTATGGGTGTGTCATTTTGAGGGTAGACTTGAAAGGCTACGGCTGTTTGAAGGAAAGGAACATTCAGGGAGGCAGATCCATATGTCCTAGTCCCTTTGGTGGTTTTCAGCGCAAATCGCCTGGGCCATTTTAAACTGAGTTCCGTGTTGAGCTGATGTAGTGGACAATGCGGCCAATCAAAAGCCCTTTCAATTTCCCACACCTCGATATATGGGTGTGTCTAATCTGAGAGAAAGCCCCAAAACTGCTTGGTGATTTGGTGGTTCCGGTTGGTTTCCGTTACACCACCATCCCAGAGGGCTCCCTATTTTGAGACAGACCCAGAATGTCCACCTCATATTTAGAAACGCCCCCCCCCCCCCAACCCCCCTAAGGTCGTACGGAGGGGGGCCTGTAATTAGAAGCTTCCGGCGGATCCCGGAGATTCCTTACCTGGCTGTTTCGCTTTCAGTCCCGCACTAGGAGCTGAGCCTTTTTTTGGGATTTCCTGGGCCAAGCCGGATTGTGCCCTTACGGGGGGGTTTCTAAATTCGTTCTGGGATTTGGATTGTGCAAATACGCGGGGGTTTCTAAATATGAGGTCAACATTATGCCAGGTTCTAATTCTGACTCATTGAACCTGTTTGTGTGATGGGTGACTCAAGTCGAAGCGGTTCTCGCGCTTGGGCTTCAAAGCTTCAAGGTGCGATCGCACAAAGTTGCCCCAAGCACGTTGCCCGCACAAACTCGTGGTTCAAAACTTCTAGTGCTTACTGTACCTATTGGTTGGCTATGCCTACTGATTGTTGCTCGCTACGTATTACATACATATATCCATATTTACACACATACACAGATATATATATATATATAGGCGTGTATAAAACACACATCTATGCACGTGTATGTATGTGTATATATATATATACACAGCAAGCAGTTCCTCATAGTCTGCTGGCACAATCCCAGGAAGGCCTGGAGTACGATCCCAAGGTGGTTGCTTATGTTTGCAGGATGGACACCTGTACAGGACAGCCGTTGAACTCCATTTTATTTTTTGACCAAGGCTGAGGTTTGTGGGGCCTCGCTTTCATGTTGCCGCGTTTCGGGCGGATGGTTGGCCTCCACTGGGAAGTGGCAACCCAAGTGGACCGTTGGACTGTTGCGAGGTTTAGGTGCTATGCTGAAATTGCGGAAAACCAAACAGTGCAGGTATTTCAGATACTTCGGCAAAACACTCGGCAAAGCACCAGGATCTTGTGGTTTGAGCTTGTATGTGTCCTCCCTTCCCAATCAGGATTTCAGAACGGTGGCCCTGGCTCCTCAAAAACCTACCCATGGCGGGGCCGGGGGGGGGGGGGGTTGAGCAAAATGATATAACAGACAACTGTCGCTCTTGAATTTGATCTGCCAATTTCAGACTTGGAACATGTAAGGGGACCCCTCAAAAGTGCATTAGTGTCAACCCCGGAATGAATTGATTGGGGGCGGTCCCTCCAAAAAGTCAGTGAAGCTTCCCTCTGGGATTCCAGTAGCTAGGGCTTGGCGGAACGTCTTGGACAGGTGGTCCGTTCAGATAAATTGAATGGACAAATCCATGCCCCCCGCCAAAAGTGAGGGTTTCTAGTCCAAGGTAAACCAACTTGACCTGAAGGCAAAACAGTTTTAACAACGTGGATGCAATTCAAATGCCTGGTTGCCAACATTGTTTCAAGAACCACCCCCTCGCCTTTGAAGGGGAACCAAAAGGAGGTTGTTGAAACGATCAGTGTTTCAACACGTTCTCACTCCTGAGTTTTCGGTAAGATCATTGTGGTGGTGAACAAAAAGTGTTGACTCTTTTTGGCCCATCCACTCAGGAAGTGAGTTCAACAAGGGTCTGAATCGCCCAACCCTGCGAACACGGCTGAGGAACTGCCTTTCCGGGACGCCATTTGCCATGCGACGGACCTTGTGCGTGTTGCGCCTCGAAAAACAAACATTCCTTGGAAGGGGTCATTGGGTGTGTCTCAGAGAAAGGGGCGGGTTCCCCTTGCGTTTCCTTCAAAGCAGCCCCAAAAAGATACACTCCAAATGGCATCCCTATCCATTCCTATGTGGTTTTCGTCCCTTTGGTTTTTATTCACTTTGCCTTTTGAAATTGCATTTCATGTAAATGCCCGCCAAAGCTTATTAGGTCGTGCTTGAATACAGTTTCTTTTTTGTGGCAACATCAGGATGGGTTGGCAGCAGGTTGGTTGGTTGGTTGGTTGGTTGGTTGGTTGGTTGGTTGGTTGGTTGGTTGGTTGGTTGGTTGGTTGGGTGGGTGGGTGGGTGGGTGGATGGGTGGGTGGGTGCGTGGGTGGGTGGGTGGGTGGGTGCGTGGGTGGGTGGGTGGGTGGGTGGGTGCGTGGGTGGGTGGGTGCGTGGGTGGGTGCGTGGGTGGGTGGGTGGGTGGGTGGGTGGGTGCGTGGGCTGGTGGTTGGTTGGTGGCTTGGTTGGTTGGGTGGTTGGATGGTTGGGTCAGTTCCTTTGTGACCTTTGAACATTTGCAACCCCGGAAATATGGCTGCTGGGAGACCTCGCCGAATCCTGCCAAACCTTGGTGCACGTCAGGTGACATGTCTGATTTCTCGAAGCCATTTTCTTTGAAAGTGCTGTATTTTTTTTGTCTGGGATCAAAGACGGCAGTTTGCTGGCCAATCAATCTTAACTCTGCGGTGATTGCGAGATACCATCTCGTTCGGTGGACCTGTTCTCATCTCCCCTCTCCACAATAAACTCCTAGCCTCACCAGTCTGAGGAATTCTTCTGGTCCACAGCCAAAGCAGAGCATCCGCAGCCTTCACCATCCATTGCTCAAAGGACCCGTCTAACGGGCTCTAATGAACCGCCGGTCGCTTGCACCAGGTGTGTAGCATCCTACCCATTTATTGGAACCCTTTCACCGGCGCACCCAACTTGTGTTCTTTTGTTTGGGTTTTTGATAGAGCTCACCTGCCGATTTGCCGCGAATCCAGCTAAGAAAGGGGACTGTTGGTTTTACGTATGAGAAAGGTCACGACAAACTACCTTATGGAAAACTAACAGGAATGCCAAAACCCATGTTTGGGTGGGGGTCCAAGTCCCCATTTCACATACCAAATAGTTCATGTTTCATTGGTGCAGGAAGTCCTCCAGAGACAACTGCAAGCGAGCGCAGAGCAAATGTTGAGACTCATGTTTCCTGAAGAACCCTTCTGGGAGGTCTTTAATTCATTTGATTTGGGCGTGCCTTTTTTAGGCCCCCCCCCAAAAAAAAGAAAGAAAGAGAAAAAACAAAGAAGAAGGGTGGGTGTCCCTTTGGTTTCCCTTTAGAGCTATCTAACAAGGGTACCCTCAAAGAACGACACCCTCCCTCCTCATTTATTTGGTGCGTGCCGTGCCTTGACATCTGCACAGGTGCTTGCTCCGCGCCGAGACTTGGAAGCCAACAGAAGGGAAGCCTCCGCTTGGGCCACGTTTGGCAGTTGCCTCTTTTTGGACTTGTTTGTCGCTTGCCGAGTGATTCCATTTACCAACAAACCTATGCAACCCAAGGGGACCACCCTTGAAAAAACTAACGGACACCGGCGAAGGGTTACCTACTATACTAACTTGCTTGGGTCCCCTCAGAGTAATTTGCAGGGATGTGTATTGCATCGCTTTTTCAGGGGCCCAGCGATCTATTTCCATCGCTGGCCTCCATGCTCTGTTGGGTTCCACTGGCCAGAGGGGCCAACACAACACCGTGTCCAAGAAGGCGAGGGGGCCGAGGGGGTTGGAAAAATGGCCTTTGGCCTTTTCCGTGGCGGATGAGGTGCCCACAGGGCTTCACTCAACAAGTGGCTGGGAAGTTCCAGAGAACACCCTCACAACGCATGCCCCAAGGATCCCCTGCTGCATTTATCTTCATAAGTTAAGTCACCATCTGGCCCGACAGTCCTTAGTCCTTGAAGTGTCGGAGCAGTTGCTGATTTCGCATGCAAAGGGGTGATTAGAAAGAGGCTGTATCACCTGACAGAGTAGATGGGAAGATGATACAAAATATGACTTTTTCAATTGAGGTAATTGTAAGCCATAATGCTCTCGCCGAAGGAAGGCCATGTGCACAAGAAGCCAAAGGCCCCGCACAACCAAGATCGCGAACGCTCCAACAAAGGGCTACATTTGTGCCACTATGCCTGCCCTGCCCTTACCAAGTACTCTCTGCTGAGGGTTGACATGGCATCCCAAGACACACTCCGTAATAGCGCGAAGAGATGGGAGGGTACCTACATGCCCGCAGATTTGCATGGATGGATGCCTGAAAGTGGGTTTCCGGCTTCCCTGCTTCCCGCAATTTAGCGTTTGCCCCGCAATTTACCGGAAGCCCTATTTGCCTTACAATGCCATGAAGAAGAAGGCCTGCGAGAATTTGCCATCCGAATCTGAGGCAGCGGACTGTGAAGCGCCTGCGAGGAGATGAAGTTCCGTGAGGGTTGGTTTCCAGTTGAGCGAAAGGGGTTTGGGCAGGACCGCGACCTCACAAAGAGATTCGATTTGCGACCTCTGCCGTGTTGAAGGTTCCTATCGTGAGGCTGCATTTCGTTGGTCAACAATTGCTTTTTTTAGTGGGGGAACGGGTGTCAACTGCAACAGGGAAATCAACTGTAATAGGGAAAGCTCTTTTGATGGTAAATAGCGGGAACCTGGGAGGAAGCACAACGTGGTTCCAACAAGGTTCCGGCTAGCAGCACATGACAGCATCTAGCATCCTAACCCATTTCTGGGTTCCGGCGGTTTCGTTCTTGCTCCCAGACCCTCGGAAGATCGCGGAATGAGGCAAATTCTGTTCCTGCAGAGGGGAACATTCCAACAGTTGCCTTATCTACGAAGAAGTTCAGCACAGAAGCTGGTGCTTGCACATTTGCTTGGTGAGAGGCGCTAGTTTTTATCTCTCTGCGTTTGGAGGGACGTCAGATTTAGATCGCCGCCATTGGATGCCGGTTGCGGAATGTTCCTACCCGGCATGCAAGGGAACAAGTCAGACAAGTTGATAAAGTTCACGCAACACCCGCACAAGCATATATAAACACATACTTAGATGCATACAGAAGCATTCAGCAATTGTGTGTTTGTGCGTCTGTGTGTTTGTGCGTCGGTGTGTGTGTGTGTGTGTGCGCGTGTGAGCGTGTGCGTGTGTGCGTGTGTGCATGTGTTTGCGTGTCTGCTGTGTGTTTGTGTGTCTGTGTGTTTGTCTGTGTGTTTGTGTGCCTGCGTGTCTGTGTGCACGACCCGGCAAAGACAATTCAACCCTATGGAGTTTTGAGGTGGTTGATTCAGGGGCCAAAGATCTCCCCTGCAAATAAACAGGGACCCCCAAAAAGTGTTCCCAGAAGCGGAGTTCACAATTCAATAATTTTTAGGTTCCATGCGAACCTCAATCAACGGGACCTATGCCTCAAGTGACCCAACTCATGGAGGTGTTTTGCAGGTGCAGAGCGGGCTCGACTTGAAGAGCGGGTGCCCATACCCACCGCAAGCCCACCCCACTCCAAGCCCACCCCAAACCCACCTCAAGCCACCGTAAACCTAAAACCCACCCTGAACCCAAACACCCCAAACCTGGCAAACCCGCGCGAGCCGCTCGCGAGCGAGCGCGCATGCTCAGGAGCGCGGTGATGCTGCAGACCGAAGCACTTGAAGCCAAGATGGCGCCGCGGAAAGACGCGAATGTCTCCTTGGCGCCTTGTCCAGAAGCCCCAAGTTCAGGCGGACCAAGAAGCCAGAACCCGATCGGCACCAGTTGGGATGGATGAATCAAAACCCTTTGGTCCCTGTCAAGTGGAATCCAAGAGGAGGTTATTCAAACCGTACTGTGGACAAAATCCAGTTCGCACCAGCCGGGATGGATTTTTCCCTATGAATGCTGGTTGATAACCCACCTCAGATTTGACTTCTAAGTTGAGGACTTGGCTTGCGGGCGACGTCCTGCGGCCTAAGAAATGGTCAGGGAGTGATTTCGGAAGTTTCTACTCAAGCTGTCACCATAACCGTATTTTCCATGGACAAAATCAATTTTGCACCAGTTGGTAGGTCGTTTATCCCAATATTTTTAGAGCTTCATCCATCCCAGCTGATGCAGGATTTTGTCCATCCGCAGTAGGGACCATAGTTGTCAAAGTAGACCCGGTTCCCTCCTTCTTCATGTAGGTTCCGCAGTGTTCGCTGCTTCTGGACTGAGCGAGGACCGCATGAGGAGCAGAAGAAGTTTGACCATAGTAAAGCACATGACCAAACATATTCCTCAATCCGTATGATGGAAGTGATCGGGATCCCCCTTGTGCAACAACCCAGTGTTCCCTTGTTGCCAGCGTGAACACAATGTAACAACTTGAAATGGTCAACCAATTCCAACCTTGTTCCCAGCACCCAGCCAGAAACAAAGAAAGACTGAGAGATATTGTGTCACGCAGATGTGTCTTTTTTCAGCCTGGTCAGACACATAGCCACATGGATTATCGTGTTGATCCGATGGCTAAAAAGGGTCACTTATTTTTGTTTGTCTGAGTATGAACTTAAATGGGGGACCCTTTGGTTTGGGAGTTACCCACCAACCACTTGGGGATTTCGCACCAAAATCCACAACCAAATCGCTTTGCCCTTTGCAATAGATCCTTTGACGACGCCCGAAATCCTAATCCTAAACATTCCTAACCCCTCACCCCGATCAGCGTCCGGTTTCGGGCTTCCCAAAATAAAGGAGCCTCCCAAATAGGCTTCGGTTTCCTGTGGGTTCCCAATCAAAACCACCTCAAGCAGGGCACCCTCAACGGACGCCCCGGGGTTTCAGGGTGTGGCAGAGAGCCATGCGAAGGCCAAGGGCCAGGCGATTCCTGTGGAGGCGCGGGTCCCGGGTCCCGGGTCCCGCAGGTTTCGACGTTCTCCGAGGTCAGGCCAAAAGGTTCCGCTGGCCCATGTCTCAACGGGGCGTTTGGTTTCCCTTTGACACCAAAAAGGCGCACACCATGTTGAGAACCCCCACCCCTATGTTTGCCCTGGAGGGGTGGTTTTTCAGACCTGACCTTCTGCAAAGGTGTACTGAAAGCCAGCTTCCTTGTTGGCGGGGTGATGTTTGGTCCCTTCCTCAGCGCCCTGAGAATCTATCATTGTGGCTGGCAAGGGACACTAAGATCCTGAATCCTGTTCACCGCACTGGTTTGACACAAAAGGGCCACGACCTTCTGACTGCTTGTGTCAGTGTCCCAGATTTTCTTAGCCAAAACAAAAGCAGCCCAAGGCGTGTCCCCAAAACACTCGCCCCAAACTTAAGCCACCGGATTGAGCCGGCCGTCGCTGTGGGGAACAAGGAGGTGATGATCTATAAATGGGTTTGTCTCCAAGTGGGGAACTCCAAAACCGGGCGGTTTTCTTTGGATCTCTAAGAACAAGCGGAGGTGACAATCCCCAACAGCATGCAGTTTGCACGCAGAACCCATTCGTGTATCCCCAGAACTCGTAGCCGCCACACGCATCCCCGTAACCAGGGCATGCCCGGAACCCTCTACCTCAGAGCCGCCCCGGACCACCCCAGAGCTAGTTTGGGCAAAGACCCCATAGCTTTCAGCTGTTGGGAAGAAAGCAAAAAGGGTAGCCTCGAAAGAAGAACACATCACACTATGAATTCGTTGCCTCGTTTGTTCAGGGCCTTGCAGGCTCCAGGTAGTGAGCCGATCTACTTCTTTCTCTGGCTGCCAGCTTGGGGCTTTTGGTTGCCAAAAACCACTCGAATTGAGCATGCGGAGCAATCATTTTCCTGCATTTAGCTTCGTTCCCCATATGTCAGAACTCAATCTTATGCTTTTGACACCCTCCGGCGTGCATTTGTGGAACACGCCGTCACATAGCCGAATGAAAGGTGTCCATGTTGTACAACGCCTTGCACAGCATAATCCTAACGCGGCCCACATTCGAGGGTGTAATGTGTTTGGTTGTCACATGAGCCATGGCTTGCGATTCCTGTTTGTTTATCCCAAATGCCACCATAATCAGGATGGCTTATTGGGAGAACGGCGATGGGGGTTGCGGGGGGGTTGCGGTGGGGTTGGTGGAGTGCGGGGCGATCCCGCTAACGATTGACACCTGCGCCCCACAGCCTCCTATGTGCGTTTTGCCAGCATTCTGAATGATAGTCAAGACCTGCGTAGCATAGCAACCCACAGCAATATGGAAACCCTTTTACATGTGGTCCAGCCAAGCGGAAACCAAGAAAGGGGCCCAGGGTGTCAAACCCCCATATTCCGTATAGGTCAGCTGACCATATGGATTGGGATCTCCATTCAGTCAGGTCAGCCATGTAGAAGCAAGTTAGGTTCCTTTTGGCTTCCCTTTAAACCCATCTCGCGCATGGGTAGCAGGTAGCAGGTGGAGTGAACCAGTCTCATGCTGCAAGAAAGGTTTTGTTCGTTTCTCATCCCCCACCCTCAAACCGGGCCACTCCCTCTGACCGCAGTTGACGCCGCAGAAGGTCCCCAAGGATAGCAAGGCGCGGAAATCGAAGCTGAAGGCCGCCCTTTTGCAACACGAGCCGTGCTTGACAGAAGCCAGCCCTCTTTTTGTATGAGCAACTTGTTCAAGACATCTGGTTATTGTCACTGAACGTATGTTCTATCCCACAAAACAGGGGGGGGGGGGGTGCGTGTTGGCTTTCTTCCCATGCCCGCTAAGGGAACCTGCGAAATATTCGGCCAAAGAACTAGGGAAGACAATGGTTCAAGAGCCCAGTCCATCTCGAGGAAGAGCCCCCCCCCTGCCTACTTTTTCTGAAAGGGACACCCCAAGCAATCGACATTTAGAAAGGGCTCCATCGATCAACCACCACCATCAAAGAAGCCCTTTCTGCGGCTTTTCCAGGTCAAAGGGGGTTTCGTTTCGAAACGCGACGCCCATGTTCCGCAGGCCAAGGCGAAGGCGGGTGCCTTCTGGGAGGAAATCTTTATTGCAGCCAGCCCGGACACCTGGAACGGGATTTGGTCAGTTGGGGGGGGGATCTCCTCACCCACCCCGAGTTCCTGGACTTCATGACTTTTCGGGGCCAGAGTGGCACACAAGAAGTGACACAACTCTTTTCCACTCCACTCAGGCAGCTGTTACCTTTAGAACGTATTTTTGCGTTTCGAGGGTTATGGAACAAATTTTAACATGTGATTTTTGGCCAGGCAAAATGCAACCCCTTTCGAATTTGCCACCTTTGCGCCTTTAAAGAGAATCCCAAATGGGAGCCGTTGAGGTACTTGGAGTCCATTTCGCAACTACCATTTTTACTGTCTGATCCAAACTGATTTTATATCTCAGGATAGATGTTCCTCAACATTGAACCGTTCTTTCTTGGGGCCAAGTCTAGGGAGTTGGTACCGTGTTTTTCTTGTTTTTTGAAAGAGAGCTGTTTGAAGACTCCCCCTTTGTACCCCGTATTGGCACCCCCAACCAATTCCCTCGTGCCCAAACAGGATTGAGAAGATTTGGCTGGAGTTGAGTGAACAAATACATGGATCGCTGGGTTTCGTTATATGTTCTTGGGGTGGGTGGCTACTTTCAGTGGTTGCTTTGGGGCGATTTATGAGAATGGTTGGGCCTGTGAAAAGGGCGGCAACGCCAAACTTCATTTCGAGCTGGGCTTCCTCTTCACCATCATCTAAAGATCAGTTCGTTTGTGTGTCACTTGAACGGACACCGCTTGTTGCAAGAGCTCGATGGAGCTGTTACCCCTCACTTTCCCGTTGACCCTTGGACCTGCTGTTTGTTTCCATGTTCGTTTATGAGTCGAGGTTACACTTGGTTGGTTTTGTCTTTTTTGAGAGTACCTTTTTTTTGGGTGTCATAAAGAACCAAAAGGATAGAAGGTTCACCACTTCCCCATTTTAAGACACACCCGCTTGCGTCTTCAACAATTTTGCGCTTTTACTCGAGGAGGCAGCTTTGTGAAAGTTGCTCACTGAAAGCTCGTGATGGACTTGGCGAAGAGGCGTTGTTTGTTGGGCACTTCTCGGGACAAGTTTTGAAGAGCTGCCGTGTGCGTTCAAGCGAAGCTTTGCGAGCTTGGGCACTTTGCTCTTGCATGCACATGTCAGCAAGTAGCGGGACAAGCTTGATGTTTGCTAAGCAGTGGCATGTCGAAGGGAACTTTTGAAGAGCTAGTTGCCTTCCCAAGAGATCCCAAACGGACCCTAAACAGGGGCTTTTGACAATAGATTTCTGTTCCCTGGGGCCTGTCTAATTTCAGCTTCCGACTGGACCCAAACCTTCCGACTGCGGGACCCAAACCCACCTGCCATTATGGCGGAGGCCCTCTCAGTTGCCCAAAGCCGACCTTTCGACCTTGCCCAGTTTTCCCGCTTTAGTCCATGTTTGGTAAAGGTGCCAAAAGGCTAACCAATGTTTTTCGGGGACCTTTGGGAATGTGAGAGTTGGAACTGGGTCAAGAATACCGCTGCCTTCGTTGGAGCCCATCGTCAAATGAGCATCCATCCGACCCAAGCAGCGATTAATTTGTGTTGTGTTTCATTGTCATTGTGTGGATTCCCCCCAAGTGTCCCGGCGTTTGTTTTGTTTTTATAAAAGGTTGCCGTTTCTCTCGTTTACGTCTTACTCCTTTTTATGCCAATGATAACCCGACCACAACATAATCAATAGTCTCTTGTTGTAGCCCACTTCAATGTTCTCAGGCATTGTGATTCTGCTGGCCATCTTGGCGGTAGTGGCATATGCGCCTCGGTTGATGCGCATTTGGGGGCCCGACATATGGGTCTGTCTCTTTTTGAGGGTACCCATGGTACCCCGTGTGGTGGATTTAAAGGGAAATCGATCGGAAACCACCAATTTGGGGGTCCTCTCTTTTGAGACACGAAACACAGTCCCTGCTTTTGCAATGTGAAGCGCAGGGCTGCTTGACAGAAAGCAACATTCGGCCCTTTACATGCATCGCTCATGTTTTTGCACAAATGACACTGAGCCTACTTAGGGGTACCACGACCTGGGACAAACAATTCTTGCCAGGGGATCTCTGAATAGGACAATGACAGACATTGGTATACTGAAACATGTAATAACTTTTGTAACGTGGAATGTCTGAACTCAAAGCTTCGTGCAGAACGGCAGTGTTGGGTGAAGATGACATCAGCCATGTGGCTAACAAGTGGTCGAGGACATCTACTTTGGGGGTCTTTGAAGCCAGCCCAAAAGGGTCCCCTCAAAAAACGGCCACACTTCGGGAAGTAGCTCCAAAGGGAAGCCTTTGTGTGCTCGCAACACTTCGTGTTTTCCATGGTGTTGCCGGAGCCTGGCTGCGGCCGGTTTTCATGGGTTCAATTCTTGGTGAACAGACCAGGTGCACATCGCGAGGTGAGGCCGGCTGAAATGCATGGGAATTGAGGCTGGTGGCCCCAAAGGGTTTTTTTTTAAAGATGAAGCTGGCCGATTTGAAAACAGGGAACGGAAGGCTCGCGATTTCCTGGAGCCTGTTCTTATTCCTGAGTGAAGAGCACACTGGTTCAGTCTCTACGTTGTTGAGATCCCACATCTGTCGTTCTTTTTGGGAGGACCCCCAAAATGCGGGTTTCCTTTCGGTTTCCTTTTTTTTTTTAAAGAAAAAGTCACCCTACCAACAAGAAAGACCGAGCTGGATGGAGCTTTCACTGCCAAACGAACGATCGGCAGTCTCAGACCAAGGCTCCAACCTAAACACGCGCGCACACACACACAAGCACAAACACGAACACGAACACGAACACGCACACACACACACACAGACAGACACAAGCGCACGCACAAGCACAAAGACAATGACAAAGGCAAACATACACACAAACGGGAAAAACATGGAGGATGAAAAAAAGCAATACACAACGTAAGTGCCCGCCCGCCCGCCCGCCCGCACGCACGCGTGTGCGCAGCTGAATGCCATGGCTACTGCGGGGCCAGAATGTGCAGCAACAGTTGGGATGAATAACCTTTTCACGAAGTAGGGTTCCCTATATATTTCTCTCAACACACCCCTGCCAAGAGACACTCACCTTAACTTGCCCAACAGCTGATGTTGAACACCGCCCAACATAGAAGCTCACGTGACTGGACTCTTAGGCGTGGCCTCCACCCCGCTGAGGCGCCGCGAGAGGGGTCCTTTGTCCGTTTTTACCGGGGGGTGTAGGAAAGGGAATGAACCAGACGGGGGTCCCCTTAAAGCAAGCTACCAGTTGGATGTTTTTTTCAGGATCATTCCAAGTCTCATTCGCTGAGCACCAGCAAGTTTAGGGAAAATCAGTCGTTTTGCGGCGTTTCGCAGGACCGTAAGCGGTTTTTTATACGTCGGATCTGTTCCAGTTGCCTCAAAGTGGGAGTCTTTGTCACATTTTGCGTGGGCGGGAAAGACACTTTTTGGATGGCCTATCAGATCAATCTGTCAAGGAAACCAGGCCCGTGGCTTGGGTGCCACAGATGGCCTCTGGGTGCTGTTGCATTGGGTCAGGGACATTGTGACACCCGACCATAGGCAGAAAGTTCGGTCACGGAGTTGACACTTCGGTTTGCGGAGCAGCCAGAATCCACTTGAGGCGAGCTCGGCCCTTGGTGGTGGCCAAAGGATCCAATCCTCGGTTGCGTCCTCAGGTTCACGCGTTGAGCATTTCATGGGGCCTTTGGGGCAAACCGTTTTCAGGTAGCCCTTAATTGGTGGGATTTGAAGCCCTAGTACTAGAGGGCAAATGGGGAACCCCTGAAAAACATGAGGGACAGGGATCTCCATCTGGAGGTTTTTGTTTTGTGTCCCACTCCCAAAGTGTGAATGCATTTCTTGGTCCCGGACCCTGACACCAGAAATCGGCGGGGAAAATTAACCACCGCGTTTCAGGGGGTTCCAACTCTTGGCCATCCTGTGGATGGTTGCGAAATCCATCTCGCACCACCGTTCAGAAACCCTGGCGTGATTCGATTCCCCTGTCAATACCAACAAGCCTTCTGGTTTCAGCCAGGGTTTCATTTCGTGGCGTAGGATTTCGCAACTGTGCGCCATATGTGCCTTTCCACTCATGGCCCCAGGACTCAAGGGACCCGTCTTTCCACCCCGAGGTGCACCGCCGCCTGGCCGCGGAAATGCGCGCAAAGGAAAATCGTGCGAGCGCTTTGATGTGGATGGTCGCTGTTGCATCCTTTTTTGGAATGGAAGGACATGTCGGAGGGTTAGCATCTTGGAAAGATGGCATTCAGGCTTCTCCATGTTCGTGCTGCACGGAGCACATGGGAGGTTCCGCTATTCATACGTGTTTGAGACCTTGATAAGCGCTGTAAACTGATATGCGCTGGATCGAGGGGTATTTTGAACATCGTAAACGTGCAGCGGGTGCAGACGTGCGTATAGTCTTATCACGAAATCAACGTGCCTCGCACAGTTTGTTCCCAAGGGTTACCTTACCAACTGTTTAGAATAACATTTTGTAAACCATCCACATCTTCTCTTGGGAATTGAACAACTGTGGAATCTGTTTGGTTTCCTTATCGAATTAGAAACTGGATTTTGTGGTTAGAAACAATGGCAAACACAATCGAATACCCGCTTAGAATGTTTGTTGTTAGAACAGTTGAATCGGATTCCATTGAGCCATCATCAAGTTGAGAAACAACACATTTAAAGACGAACTGTTTAAACTTCGAAACAAGCACTGGTACATATGGACAGTTATGATGAATGTGGGAGCAATCCATTCTGGAATGCTAATAGACATACCCTCAAACAAACCACTTGTAAGTTTGTTAAATATGTTATCTAAATAGAATGTTTTGGACCTCTATTTGTCTATTTGTCTACAAATATGTCTAGGAGACCCAACCTACGTACTGTTCCAATATCCGAATTGGTTGATATAAGCAATCACCTTTATAGAACTAAATCCCAAATGCTGCTTCTACATTGCCGTACAACTGCGGCAATCCTATGTAAAAGTACGCAGCAGGCATTATACTGTTTCTGCTATCAAGGAACCAATATTGGAGTATCTTTAGTTATATCATTTTGAACCTCCTGGTGTAGTTAAACAGTATTGCTACAAACAATAGCTGCTGATCTCTTTTCCAAACTCCATGTGTCCCATTCATGCTCCCAACATCTTGGTGAGCCACTTGTGTGAGCTAGCCCATCAATGACATGGTGAACCCCACTGATTCTGGGATTTATGAAGTGGGTTATGAGCTAACCAACTTACTTGGCCGACGTCCCACAGGTGGTGGCCTGAAGCTTTCGCGCACGGGGGAAGTTCTTCACAGCCGAATCGTCGACTGCGAATTGGGACCTTCGCTTTGGTTTCGAACAGACAGAAACCGAGACGACAGTCTCCCAAAGCCCTTTCTTTCTGTCGGCTGGCATGTGAGGGCGAGGTGAACAAGAGAACACGCTGGCGGGCATAAGAAGTGACAACAAGTTCTACCTGGTAGTAATTCGCCACATGCCTTTTTTACATTCTCGAACATGCCTTGAACAGCTTCAACACAATAATATTGCACGTTGTTGTTTTAAGCAAGCATTCTCGAATTGTTCACCATTCCCAGTTTCGACCATAGTATCATTTTCTTGCTTGCATTCTGATTCCATGTGCTTTCTTTCCATCGCAGGTTCTACTATTCTTTCTATCGTTCACACAATACATCCCAGACTGTTTGGCTAGTTGGTCGTCTGAGGTCCTATCGCAAAGGTTTTCATTGACGTGGGTTCCCAGCACACCTGCAAGTTGAACATTTAAAGACGTCCTTCCGAAGATTCCTCAGGTGTTGGCCCCTGGCATGTCGGCTCCTCGTGGTTTGTGTTGTGTTTTGAGTCCAACTTGTTGACACTTTCTCATGTTATCGAATGGATAGTTCGTCTTGGAAAGCAGCGTTGATTCCCTGCTGTGTGCCCCCTCACTGCAGCTGGCAGTTCCAGCCTCCTTTCGTTCCAGATGGCAATTGCACATGGTGAGCGTGGCTCCTTCATTGGCCGTTGCAAAACCCCCCCACCCCCTGAAAAATGGAATTGGGGGAGGGGGGTGACCCCTGGAAATCCCTTTCTGGTTCCATTTTCCCTTTTGTTGGGAACACTAGACAAATGGAATTGGGGGCCCCCCACCCCCCTCCCCCCTACAGCAGGGCGGATGTTGCAAAACAGGGCTTGGAGGTGTTGCAACAATTCAGATTAGGGATACATGGGACTCCGGATTCCGCGCAGATGGGGTAAAGCGACCCCTCGATTTTCTCCGAAACGACAGGGCGAGGCCAAGAAAGCGTGGCCAAGACGGCCCGGGCTCCGAGCCATGCATAATGTAAGATGCCACTGCAATCCACTGTCAAGCAGATGGATCACACTCACCAATGGTTTTCTTTTGCTTCGACTTCCAAATCAAGTACCGAACGAAAGATTGCCGTCTATTGTCCTCATGGCCGCTGGTGCTCGTGGAATGGCAGTGCGTTGGTATGTCTTTCTCCATCGAACGGGTGCCTTGCTTGGGGAAACTCTCCAAACGATACGGCCTTGGTTTGGATTGAAACGCGGCACAGGCAGAATTTTCGAACCCTTGTCCATACGGATCTGCCTTTTTGAGGGGTTTTATAGGGGGGCCGATACCCTACGGAATGGTTTTGAACAGGACTTTATCCCACTGGCAAGAAGAGGAAGCTCAAGGGATCTTTAAAGGAAGAGGCCTTACAGGGTTGCTCCCCCAAACAAACCTTGGCTTTGCTAAGGCACCCATGAGATGAACATACTATGATCAATGAATATGCTTTTAAGGAACGGATGTGAATTTACGAGAATATATTTTAGAGAAGAAAGTGACAATAAGAAAGAAAGCGGTTATTGACAAAGGAAAGGGCAAAAATACTCAATGTTATATCTTTCACCTACCTCCTGCAGCGTAATAAGCTCTCAGTCCAAGTGGGAGAGGCCCTGGCGCCAACTGTGACCCTGGTCGCTCGATGCTCAATACACTGCTTTGTGCCACGGCGTAACGTGGGGAAGCGCCATTTCCGCAGCATTTGCCACGGCTGATGACACGAGCTTGCAGGAGCATTGCTTTGATTGGCGAACTACGCAAGTTGTTGATTGTGACTCAGATGGGTGCATCTTTCTTTTGATGAGCCCCCCAAAAATTGCGGTTTTGCTTTGGTTTCCCTTGAAAACAACTCCAAAGGGGTACCCTCAAGGAAAGATACCCAAATCTAGATAATCTCTACACTTTGACTTGGGGGGGATCCCCTCATCCCACACACCCCGTCCCCACCCAACCTAAACAACCTCAGATCCGGTCCGGCTCAGGCCGGGTCGGGGCTTTCTTGACTGGATCCCGGCGCGGATCCTCGAGAAAGCTGTCGCGTGGATGTTGATGCGATCTAAACCATGTTTGGCTCATCAGCCGAAAATGGAATCTCAATTTACAAGTAGACAAAAATAGGCATGGCGGTAGCTTTTGATTCTTGAGCCACATGTCAGAGCGGACCGTGGTTTGTGGGAAACGGGTGGGAAACGGCAGGCGGGGGAAAGGGGGTTCGGTTTAGGGTCACTTTCTGTGAGTGGGCAAAGGAACAACTTTGAAAGTGGCAAACAGGGATTGGCCATTTCGGGTACCCTTCCTTGTGCCAGGGATTTCGATCACAAAGGGAACAGACTATGTTGCAAGGGCGTTCCTGTTGAATGCCATCAAGACCTAGCGGGCGTTACCCTCATTCATATGGCCAAACAAATGAACTGAGGAATCCTGAATCTCCTTCTGGCCACTTTTGGGTTCCATGTTGCTTTGTAGGAAAGTACGGTCTGGTTCCCACTTTGTAAGAATGTGGGAATGAACAAGTGGGTTTCTGCCTCCGTATCATTCTTTTTGGTAGAAGTGTTTGATCAGTTTTCGGGTTGGCTTCTCCGATCTTTTCCAGGGGTTGAATTCAGTTTCGCCATTGAGCGGACTTGTCTGATCGGCTAGGCGCAATGCTCCTGCCAAGCAGAGCCATAGTTGCCAATTCTCCGACAGAAACGCAACATGGGGCCAACAACTTCGGTTATTTTTCCGGACCCCCCGATTCAGCACATTTTACAGAAGCCACATAGCCGGGCCATGCCCCTTCTCTTCAACTCAGAGAGATTCCAAGCT